AATAGAAGTTCCTTCATAATATAAGTTCCAAATGGAAAAAGTATTCTGGAATATTATTTCCACTGGAATAAATATTACAGTATATTTTCCTAACGGAATAAATGGTATATAATATTTGTTCCAACAGGAACAGATATTATGACATTGTTTATAACAAAGTTTCTAGTGGAACATCTGTTAGGCGGAACAAATATACGTTACCAGTCTAACCCCGCCACATTCTATATGTGCCTGTGGTAAGAAATGACCATTTGACATATAGTCACAGGGGTTCGTATCAATTGAATTGTTTCATATTTTTCATGTCAGGGCCTTTCACGGCCGACTATACGGTATGGTTTTTTCTCATTGTTGACTGAGGTCGTACGGTTGCCTATAATTGCCTACGACCACTTCATTTGAACTGTGGTGGGTAGTTGTCTAATTGTCAATCATACCACATCTCCTTATTTTTCACTGAATACTTAAATTACATAAGTATCCCTACAAACAACGTCCAAGTGCTCCACATGAAACCTCTTTCTAAATTACTAACATCAATTTTAGTTTTCAGCAATCAAAGCCGGGCTTCAAAGTTATTGCGAAACTACCTACTCTAAGGGCGGTATGAATTAGATGTGGATCCTAAAAACAATCCAAATATCTGCTATAGTACATACAATCTAAGTCTCTTTCCTCTTGCGATAGTATTAAAACATTCGACTCGTGACGTCTACCCTTTACACAAGTATTCCACATTCCAAACTAAAAGACAAATTGAAAGAATAGGTACTGCTTTGTTACTTAAAGACAAATTGAAAGAATTGGTCCTACTTTGTTACTAAAAGACAAATTGAAAGAATTGGTCGTGCTTTGTTTCATAAAAAAAGAATGGCCAACGAAGATACATGCATCTTGTCTTAGGGGGTATAAATCGTACTTTGTAAAAAGACACTCAAGATTATTCAAACAAAAAGTTATCTGAAACTCTGGCCTTTGTTAGTCTAGTATCAATTTTAATTTCAGTATCCTGTGTTTAATTTGGAGTTTAGTATGACGTCCATTATCACTGAACAAGTATACATATTTGTTTAGGGGCCAGCTGAAGGACGCCTCCTGGTGCGGGAGTTTCTCGCTGCATTGAAGACCCATTGGTGGCCTTCGGCTGTTGTCTGCTCTATGGTCGGGTTGTTGTCTCTTTGACACATTCCCCATTTCCATTCTCAATTTTAACATTACCAGATGCTTGATTTCTTGATTGACAACAGATTTGTTACGTTTGGAGGACGTGTTTTTCCAACAAAAAATCCGGTGGCACTCCCTTGGGAACCAACTGTGCTCCTCTGTTTGCCGACTTGTTCCCTTATTCATATGAGGCATACTTGATACATGAGCTTCTTATGAAGAATGAAAAGAAGCTAACAGTATCCTTTAACTTTACTGACGTCCCGCACTATACATAAAACTATTTCGGAAATAAAGGATACATTTTGATAGTTAAGTTTGCTTCATATCTTGATTTACATCTTGAAATTGACTATTAGGGTCGGCCGAGAACAAAACTTTACATCAAAAGAGATGATTCCAGCTTTCCTATTGTGAACTTTCCAGGTCTATGTATAGCAACATTCCAACAGCGCCTGAACATGGTGTATATATCTTCCAGTTGATACGATATTCCAGAGCTTGCATTTCCTGTCATGATTTCTTTGATAGAGGGTTGCTAGAAGATTTCAAACCAAGAGTTCCAAGTGGTGAAGTTGAAATCATCCCTTCAAACATTTTACGGACGTCACCACAAGTTGGTTGACCGCTATGGAATATATCTGTTTCACAGATGACGACGAATATGTGCCAATTTGACTGGTTTGTACTTACACGAGCACCACGAAGATCGGGTGCTACATGTGGAGCAGGATTTGCTTAACCCTTCCGGACCACCTGAGATAACCCCCGGTTTTGGTGGGGTTTTTGTTGCTCAAACTTTACTTTTCTATGTTGTGTTTTGTAAACTGTTGTTTGTCTTTTGGTCGCTTTTCGTTTTTTGCCATGGCATTGTCAGATTTGTTTTTGACTTTGATTATCCCTTTAAAATATAAAAAAAGAACTAAAAGATAGCTTTAAAAATAAATTCTTTGAAAAATTAAAATCAAATAATGAAACAAGTAAAATGTAACGTTCTTGCACAGTAAAATTAACACAAAATATGAATTAGAAACAAAATTCTTAAAAATAATTTTGAAAAATCTAAATCGAAAAATATTATGTCAAATGCTAGTAAGTGACCATTTCTTGGAAATTGAGAGGGTAGATATAAAAGAATATAAAGAGAAAATAGAATTTGTAAATATTGTAATATTAATGAGGTTGAAGATAGTGAAACCCATGTTTTCTTATCATGTGAAATTAATAAATCTTTACGAAAACAACATGAAAAAGACATAAATAAAAATTAATATTCATCAAGAATTTATGAAAAGATTTGAAAAAATAAGATTACTACTGAGGAGCAGTGGACACAACACCTGCATAAATATTCTTACGTTTTTTGTTTTTTTTTTTTTTGTTTTGTTCAGAATACAGAATTTTTTTACTACATGTATTTAATATTATCGGTCTCACTAATTAGCGACAAGAAGAATTTTAGCGACAAGAAGCGTCAAGAAGCGACAAGAAGGATAAATTTAGCGACAAGAAGCGACAAGAAGACTATTTAGCGACAAGAAAACTTAATAAAAATATTATTAAAATAAATATATTAAAAAAATATGCATTGACATTTTTATTTTAATATACGGAAAGTAAAGTGATTTTCATTTTTTTTTTTAAAATATATTGATAAATATAGAAACTTCCCTGTTATAGTATGATATTAGTTTTTACATGTTCTTGTGATTTAGAACAATAATATATTTATTTTATAAATTTTTTAACACTCTCTGTCTAAAATATAATAAACTGACTGCATGCAAAATGCATTATACGTGAATCAGTGTCCAGAAAAGATAATGTTACTAAAACGTGAATATTTTATTTGGGTATTGACTTATCAAACGATATGTATGATGTTTATGCATAGTTTAAAGTTGATTGAAGATTAAAGGTAATTAAAGACAATGTTGAGTGTTCAATAGTTGCTCACTATTTACAATTATTGTATATTCTGGCGCGTGTAGTTGTATAGTCTGATGCGTGTACAAAGTTATAGGTGTTAATTGACTGTTATTGTACAGCAATATTCAAATTCAAATTCAAATTCTTTATTATCTTTAAGCCTTACGGCTCATCAGAATAATCAAATACATGTACAGTGTATACATATGGCATATTACAAACAATATTAACAATATGCATAATTAACAATAGGTGACGTCAGAAGTTTCGTCAATACAAAATATCTTTTATTACAATAAACTGTTTCTTAATTTAAAAGAGAAATGTATATACTTTCCTAAGTTACAAAGCTGTTTTGTGTTTTCACCGGACAATAGTTCTATTAACTTAAAAGTTGATGGCCTAGACCAGTAATATATTTTTATATATTTTTTTCGCAAATCAGTATATCTACTACATTGAAGGATGAAATGAAATTCATCCTCTATTACTCCTAAATCACAAAAAAACAATTTCTTTCATTTCTATTAGTACCAACATAACGTCCAGTTTCAATACAAATTAAGGTTATGTGAAGACAAACGAATCCTTGTTATACATTTACGAAAAAGTACAGGAATGTATTTCTGTAAATAAAATTGCAAAACTACCTTTGTTACCACATACTCATATAATCTACACTTTGCAGAAGAATCTAATAAAAAATGTAACATTTGGTTAGCTTGATCAAACAAACGCTGTCTTATCAAAGGTAAATATGAGCTGTCTACATTTAACAACCACTGATTATCCCACAAATTATTCATACCAAGACTATATATCAATCTTTTTACATATGTTGCCCAATTCATACATTTTGAACAATTTAACACAAGCTCTTTATAACAAGACCTTAATATACAATTGTCACTTACTAAAATTTTGAACCAAAATTTAAGTATCCTAAAATTACGCTCATACTGCAGTGGAAATCTACCTAATTCAATGTAGACCATCACATTTGAGGTCGTTCTTTTGACACTTAATAACATTTTGCAGTAGTCCAAATGGACCTTTTCTATCATAGGAGATTTGTGTACTCCCCATATCTCACACCCATACATTAATATACTACTAACATAAGTTTCAAATAGACTATAAGCATTGTAAATACATTTAAACATAATGATGACTGAGTAGTTCTCCTCATACTGAACATAGCTTTTCTACTTTGTTCTGCACAATGTTTCTGTGTATTAAGAAATTTACAATTATAAGGTAGTAATACACCTAAATAACAAAATTGTTCCACAATATCCATAGAAGTAGTTCTTACAAGAAAATAATCAGCTGGTTCGAAAAAAATGCCTGGCCATTCTCTTGAAACCATGAATAAAGCAATATAGCAGAACACATAGGTACCTATCCTATTAAACAAACAAAATATTGCTGATGATATATGCAAGCTGTCATCAATATTAATTCTTTGAAAGAAATTGTTCAGATCACAGGCAAACCTCCAAATGTTACAATTTGTATTGGCAGGTGGAGGAGGATTCCCAGTTTGCTAGATGACGCAGACAGAGCAGGGCCAGTATGACATGCAAGTCAGAGCTTCTAACATTGTAGTTGTTCCAATAAACTGTATATACTGTGGATTCGCTTAACCAGAGACATATAATACAATTATATGTCTCTGGCTTAACTTACTGGTATACTAATTTAGTGGATTAAAGATTTGGCAGATATATTATGATGTTTTAATAATTCACAATTTTTGGATTGCGTATATATTGTATTGTAATGTTTATATGCCTTCCACCCCTCGAGGTACAAATGTGCATTTCATTAATAAATAGATATAAAATAATCACTACGTCGATAAAAACAAGTGCCGAAGTTTACAAAGGGGCGAATTATGTGAAAAATCAAAATCATTCGAGTGTTTGATGCATTTTCGTATAAAGAAAACAAAACAACCATAATTTACAATATTCAAGACCCGTCAAACAAATCCAACAGTCTTTTGAGGTATTGTCAAGATGATAATTGGCGAAGCTACCATTTTTCATTTCAAAAAGTAAAAATTCTCCCTGAAAATACACAAACTACATTTTCAACATGTTCAAAAAATGTCATGCGTCCGAAGGCGAAGCTGTTTTATGGATTTTACCTCAAAGCGGAATATTTGAAAGCCAATGATGTGTAAGCACCGAAACGGTTGAAGTTCTAGATGACCGAAAAGAAACATGTGGTCTCTAAAAGTTATCCCCCATAGCTCACTTTTCACAAATTGAACAGGTCAGAACACAGGGGCTCGTATCATAGATGTGTTTGGGGCAGAAATATATCCCAGTAGACTGGTATGCGTTCTACATTGTGCTTATTGATGGAATAATCATAATGTTGAATGCATACTAGTCAACTGGCATATATATATCCGCCCCAAAAACATCTATTATACCCCTGTGGTCAGAAATGACCATTTGACATATACTGATGATATACATGATATAGTCACGGGTTCGTATCATAGATGTTTTTGGGGCGAAAATATATGCCAGTCGACTGGTATGTGTCGTTTTTCGTTTTTTATATAGATTAGGCCATTGGTTTTCCGTTTGAATGGTTTTACACTAGTAATTTTTTGGGGCCCTTTATAGCTTACTTTTCGGTGTGAGCCAAGGCTCCGTGTTGAAGACCGTACTGTGACCTATAATGGTTTACTTTTATAAATTTTGACTTGGATGGAGAGTTGTCTCATTGGCACTCATACCACATCTTCTTATATCTATGTGTTTACATTGTATTTATTATGTCAAATGGTCATTTCTGGACTTTATGGCAAATATGGCTGTGTTTACACCTCAAAATTTCCTCTTGAGTACATTACAAACCTGTATTCTGTAGGTTCGCTGTTGACACTGGATTGTCTCTCTTGTAATATAAGTCTCACGTGTACAATTTTCACTCTGGTAAACAACTCACTTGTACTTTAATTATACATATAGGTGGCAACTGTATTAAAATATTAAGAAACAAAAAAGGAAAAAAAAAATATGATTTAACATTTATAGTAAAAAAAAAACTAAAAAAAATTTCGTAATCAAAAACGGCGCGACTCACGGATAAAATCACCCAACCACCTCATTAGTGTTTCTCTAGAGACAGAGGAGTTGCCGTTTTTTTCTATTGACAATAAAAGTTCTAAATCAATATGTACGGATCCTGTGTTAAAAAATATCTCGTGTATAAGTTTCTGTCTAGCCGCTTCATAATTTTCACAAAAAAGTAAATAATGATCCATGGTTTCCAATTGACCACATTCACACTTTGGATCTACATTTGAATTGATTTTGTTTTGATAATTTTTTAGGTAATATCCTGATCTTAAATTTCTAATAAATTTTGATGTTTTATGATCTGGAAAATCAAGTGTTTATTTTTCATTGACATTATGGTGGAAATTATAATAGAATCTTCCTGTATCAGTCCCAACGATGTTGCCGTTTTTGTTCACTAAAATCCTTGCTGCTGTTTTTATATCATAATAATGATCCATGGTTTCTAATTGACACTGGATTGTCTCTCTTGTAATATAAGTCTTGCGTGTACAAATATGTGCATCAGGAATAGTTTCAGGGGTGTGGAAATGCTATGCCTGACTCGTCAATTTGAACAACCGGACAAGTAATTTTTTTTATCTAGGTTGCCCATGGACAAGTAAATAAATACACTGGACAAAATTCAATTTGATGAAAAATATAGAATTATTTTCACAACTTATTTAGATGTATAACTTTATTTAAAAAGAAACCAATGATCTACATGTGAATAACATATATTTAAGTCAATACATCAATGTTCATGACAAGTATTAACTAGAGGCTCTGAAGAGCCTGTGTCGCTCACCTGTATTTACTGATGCTTTGGAAATCATGTAAAATAAGGTTAAAATCATATTAATAGTATTAGTTATTAGATATTATAATGATATCTAAGATAATAACAAAAAACTGCAAAATTTCTGTAAAATTACTAACTCAGGGGCAGCAACCCAACAACAGGTTGTCGGATTCGTCTGAAAATTTCAGGGCAGATAAATCTAAATCTGATGAAAATTTTTGCCACCTGTCAGATTTGCTCTAAATGCTTTAGTTTCAGAGATATAAACCCAAAACTGCATTTTACCCCTATGATCTCTTTTTAACCAAGTCGGCCATGATGGTTGGAAGGCGGGGTCATCGGACAAATTTTTTAAACAAGATACCCTAATAATGATTATGGCCAAGTATGGTTAAATTTCAGTAGTTTCAGAGAAGAAGATTTTTGTAAAAGATTACAAAAATTTACGAAAAATTGTTAAAAATTGACTATAAAGGGCAATAACTCAGGGGCAGCAACCCAACAACAGATTGTTAGATTTGTCTGAAAATTTCAGGGCAGATAGATCTTGACCTGATAATCAGTTTTACCATCTGTCAGATTTACTCTAAATGCTTTGGTTTCAGAGATATAAGCCAAAATCTACATTTTACCCCTATTTTTAGCCATGGTGGCCATCTTGGTTGGTTGGCGGGGTCATCGGACACATTTTTAAAACTAGATACCCTAATGATGATTGTGGCCAAGTTTGGTTAAATTTGGCCCAGTGGTTTCAGAGGAGAAGATTTTTGTAAAATGCTAACGACGACGACGATGGACGACAGACGCCAAGTGATGAGAAAAGCTCACTTGGCCCTTCGGGCCAGGTGAGCTAAAAAACCAGGAAAAAGATCGATTTAACAAAAAATCCGGGTCTCATAAACCTTGTGTAATTTTTCCCCATTGCCCCGGGATTGTCAATTTGGTTTGATCTGCCATCAAGCTGAAGTGTTATTTCAATTTTTCATGATTGAATTTTATCGAATGGATAAATATCTTATAAAAACACCTTGACCGGATAATCAAGACAAAAAGAATGAAAATAACCATGATGAAAATGTTCTGCAAAACAGGCTCGTCGGATGAAAGAAAACAGAAAAATTAAACAGGTGTCTGGGGAAATGGGCAAAACATTAGTTGCCTTCTAGATTTTTTGTTGTTGTTTTGCTTATACGAACATTTATGATAGTACATGTATATAAAAAGCTAAACTAAAAAAAAATATAGGTTTTTGTCCTTGTTTTTTGAGATATAAGCCTTTGAAAATTTTGAGGGAAATGATTTTCAATACATTTAACATTAGCACCTGTTTTCTTTCAAACACTTATGAAAAATAGCAAGGATTTTATAAGATTTTCCAAAATGGCTTTTTAAACTATATGGAACAAAATTATGAGATGAAAAGTAGGGGTTTATAGTAGGCAAAATTTTTGATGGCACTCCATGTAGATAAAACCAGAGGATTCAGAATATCCCACAAAAAGTAAAATACAAGACTTATGCAAACATCCTAAAAGGACCATTAAACATTTTAAATACATAAATGGAAAATCTTTAAATGCAAAGAAATAAAACTAAATATTTTAAACCTTTTAACATGTTTAACAAGTTTAATTCTACAACTTTTACGAACTCCTAATAATATGGAATTATACATGTATTTGTTAAGGACCTTTAATTTTTTATAAGACCGCAAACAAATTTTGCAGTCATATATTTGTATCACGTCGTCGTCAGCGACGTCCGAAGACATTTGGTTTCCAGACAATAACTTTAGTAAATGTAAATAGAAATCTATGAAATTTAAACACAAGGTTTATATAACCACAAAAGGAAGGTTGGGACTGATTTTGGGGGTTATAGTCCTAACAGTTTAGGAATAAGGGGCCAAAAAGGGGCCTAAATAAGCATTTTTCTAGTTTCCAGACAATAACTTGTGGAACGGTGTATGGATCTCTCTGAAATTATACCACCAGTTTCAATACCGCAAAGGGATGGTTAGGATTGGCTCTTGGGGGGGTTATGGCTCAAACTGTTTAGGAATTAGGGGGAAAACCAGGGTTTCCTGGTTAATGGACAATTTAAAAAAAGTACAATGTTATGTTTGGATTACCTCCCTTACACTGCTTTTAAATTATGTATAAAGAAATGTTGTATTGTCTTGAGGTGATTAGCTGTCAATATTTTTAGAAGTTACTATTTAAAAATGCTGATTAAGGAATATTATTTTTAGCCATGATTATGTATGTCATTTTCTATTTAAGACTTTTATGATGTATTTAAATGGATAATTATGGTTGCATACTGCATTGGAAATTTGAATTGAGATTATGACCATATCTTGAGGGAAAGAATTTTTTTGGGGGAAAAAGGGGGGGGGGGGGGGGTAAAAAAAAGGGGGGACAATTTTTTCTCATTTCAGATTTGCAAAAAAAAAGGGGGGGGGGGGAGGGGGGGTCAATTCGCAACAGCATAGTGTATTGCACAAAATTACAATCCAAATTCAGACCTGTATCAAGCGTGAATATTGTGTCCATTTTTGCCCCAACTGTTCAGGGTTGGACCTCTGCGGTCGTATCCAGCTGCGCTTAGCGAAGCAATTTATTTTTTAAGTTGATGAACATGATGAAATATGATTGCAATTATTTATTTCTTTGGAAAAATACCTATGTTTATATTGATAATTATGTTTCTCAAATTCTTACCCTATTTATCCTTTTCCTGACATGACAGTTAGATTTTAAATATTTAACTGTCTCAATAGTAGTCAAAGGTACCAGGCTTATAATTTGATACACCAGACGCGCGTTTCGCAAGTGTATAAATATGGTATCACACTTGATGCAGTATAGAATCTATATTTATCCTATGTTTACCAATATGATAATATAATTATATTTTTCTTGCAGTGATGGTTGTTTGAAATAGATACATCATGTCTCAACCTCAAAGAGGAATATCACAAACCAAAGAGGCTTTGTTGAAAACCTACCATAAAAAATTAAAGGACGATGTCAGGTCCATGTTTGATAACTTTACAGAAATAATACGATTAGCAAGGGTGAGTATACCAAAAATAAAGATTTGGTTAGTAACATAAACTTGGGTAATAATTTGGAAATGTACAGTAACATAAACTTGGGTTATAATTTTGAAATATACATGTAAATACAGAAATTTTACACATTTGGCAAGTAGATTGTTTACATGACAATAATGTAAATATTTCAAAAACATACTTTTTATGCCCCACCTAGGGGCATTATGTTTTTCGGTCTGTGTGTCCGTTTGTCCCGCTTCAGGTTAAAGTTTTTGGTCAAGGTAGTTTTTGATGAAGTTGAAGTCCAGTCAACTTGAAACTTAGTACACATGTTCCCTATGAAATGATCTTTCTAATTTTAATGCCAAATTAGAGTTTTGACCCCAATTTCACGGTCCACTGAACATAGAAAATGAAAGTGCGAGTGGGGCATCCATGTACTGTGGACATTCTTGTTCAAATAGGAAAAAGAAATATATATTTTTTTGCCTCCTTACAATAGTCATGTGTCAGCTAGGGTAATACATTTTTAAACATGTCATAGATATAAGAAGATGTGGTATGAGTGCCAATGAGACAACTCTCCATCCAAGTCAAAATTTATAAAAGTAAACCATTATAGGTCACAGTACGGTCTTCAACACGGAGCCTTGGCTCACACCGAAAAGTAAGCTATAAAGGGCCCCAAAAAATTACTAGTGTAAAACCATTCAAACGGGAAAACCAACGGTCTAATCTATATATTGTTTATTTACTTGAATATGTAAGTCATATGTACTTGTACAAGTAAATTTGTATGTTTTTTTAATTTTCATATCAAGATTTAAATAGTCTCCCCTTATCTTCTAAAAAAAAATACTTATACGAGTTAATTTTTTTTTACAACACCTTAATTACTCAAGTTTTTGGAGGTCAAAACATGCCTATACAATTTTTTTTCTACTTTGCATAAGATTCTGAAATGGTAGATTGAAAACACCACCGTAGAACATCTGCCAATCAATCGTAAACAATAGAAACTGGTTCAAAATCTTATGTGGAAAAGTATAAACAAAAGTATTGATCTGTAATCAGATAATCTTCTTTCAATGGAATTTTTAAACTAGGTGTAAGAAATTGAGGAAGGAATATCAAGGGGAAAAAAAAAATCTTTTGCATTTGTTGATGTACCTGATGTAGATACATGTACATGTATTAGGTAATATTTATTAATTGAGCATAAAATTTGCATTGGCAGGTAGAGGAGGATTCCCAGATCGCAAAGATGACGCAGACAGAGCAGGACCAGTATGAAATGCAAGTCAGAGCTTCTAACATTGTAGGTATTCCAATAAACTGTATATACTATGGATTCGCTTAACTTACATGTATACCAATTTAGTGGAATAAAGATTTGGCAGATATTTTATTCAAAAGTTTGACATATTCTCAATACAAGTCTATAGGGATTTGTATAACTTAGGTGAACACTGAAATATGTGGTTCACCCATCATGCCCATATCCATGAAAATAATTTCTTGACAAATAATTATGAATCCATAGTCCTGACAGTTGTCAGTCTTTGTAAGCAAAAATCACTCAGTATTTATCAAATTATGGCTTTTTAGGAGTTGCTACATACACATCCGAAATTTAAAAGAGAGGCGAAAGATACCAAAGGGACATTCAAACTCATAAGTCGAAAATAAACAGACAACGCCATGGCAAAAAAAAACAGTACTCAAAACACAAATTAGAAAACTAAAGATTGAGCAACACGAACCCCAACAAAAAGGGGTTGATCTCAGGTGCTCCGTAAGGGTAAGTAGATCCTGCTTTACATGTGGCACCCGTCATGTTGCTCATGTTAGTACAAACCCAGTATAAGTCTAAATTGGTAGGTCACAAATAAAGTGATATAAAGGGAGGTAATTTCAGCTAGCTATGGTGTTCAAGAAAAAAATTTAAATATAAAAAAAAAAGATGTGGTATGATTGCAAATGAGACAACTCTCTACAAGAGACCAAATAACACAGAAATTAACAGCTATAGGTCACCATACAGCCTTCAACTATGAGCAAAGCCCATACCACATAGTCAGTTATAAAAGGCCCCGAAATAACAAAAATGTACCAATTTGCATGGATTGAGGAAAAAATTGTACTTTGTTTTGCTAAGGTCAGAAGCCCATAGATAATGTGTACTTCGTTGAACATTTAAATCTTGGTTTACCTATATTCATGAACACCACATAATTAAGTTGGTACCAAGGGAAAAATGATAAATCCATAGTATTTGACAGTTTTGATGTCAACTTTCTACATGCCAATTTTCTACAAATGTTTAAAAGTCACTAAACTAAGTATTGACAAATAAAGAGGTAAGAAGGGAACATCCTTAAAAGACTTCTAACGGATGATAAAAATGGTGAGATTTTCCCCTTAAATTTTATATATACGTTGTATTACTTTGTAAATTTCTAATTGATTTTTTTGCAGGGAAGGGCTGGAGAATCTCTTATGAAGCTGGTATCAGATCTGAAACAGTTCCTTGTGTTAAATGACTTTCCATCCGTGAATGAGTCCATCACGACTAACACACAACTGTATAAAAACATACAAAGTGAATGTGACAAAACATTGATGAACTTGAAGGATGAGATGTCTGTTGAACTCTTTGAACTAGAAGATGAATATTATTCGTCATCTTATAAATAAATTGAAAATAGATTACCGGTATAGTTTTTTGTTGTGATACCTACTGTCATTTACAGATTATCAGAAATTTTTTGATATTGTAAAATATCAGCTGTAATTATATGCAGCTATTTTGGAAAGTGAGTACATAGTCGATAGTGGGTATAAAAACTGACCACTTAAAGAATAAAAATAAGATGTGATATGATTTCCAATGAGACAACTCTCCATCAGAGACCAAATGAAGTAGAAGTTAACAACTATAGGTCACTGTACAACCTTCAACAATGAGCAAAACCCATAGAACCTTGTAGCATTCTACTGATTAAGTTATTTTCTATTTTCTGTTATCTTGTAAATCTTGATCCTTATAAACTTAAAAACCCGACAGGTCAGCTAGGACCCCACTTGCACAATTTTTATGTGAGGCACAAAAACAAATAATTACTCTGATGCAAACAAAGCAATACATGTTCAATTTTTATATGACCGCAAAAAGTATATTGGTATGACGTTGGCGTCGTGAACGTTGTCGTCTTCCAGTGTCGTCGTCGTCGAAAGACACATTGGTTTTCGCACTCTAACTTTAGTTTAAGTGAATGGATCTCTATGAAATTTTACCATAAGGTTTAATACAACAAAAGGAAGGTTGGGATTGATTTTGGGGGTTATGGTATAAACAGTTAAGGAATTAGGGGCCAAAAAGGGGCCAAAAATAAGCATTTTTGTAACTTCCAGACATAACTTGTGTGTTAGTGTATGGATCTCTCTGACATTGTACCACAAGGTTCCATATCACAAAGGGAATGCTGGGATTGATTTTGGGGGTAATTGCCTCCAAATTTTAGGAATTAGGGGCAAAAAAGGGGCAAAAAACAAGCATTTTTCTAGATTCATGACAATAATTTGTGTGTAAGTGTATGGATCTCTATGAAATAGTTCTACAAGGTTCCATATCACAAAAGGAAAGCTGGAATTGAGTTTGGGGGTAATTGCCCAAAACGTTTAGGAAAAAGGGGCCAAAAATAAGCATTTTTCTAGTTTCCAGACAATAACTTGTGTTCAAGTGTATGGATCTCTCTGAAATTGTACTGCAAGGTACCATACTACAAAGGGAAGGCTGGGATTGATTTTGGGGGTAATTGCCTCCAAATTTTAGGAATTAGGGGCAAAAAAGAAGCATTTTTCTAGTTTCATGACAATTACTTGTGTGTAAGTGTATGGATCTTTCTGAAATTGTACTACAAGGTTCCATATCACAAAGGGAAAGCTGGAATTGAGTTTGGGGGTAATTGCCCAAAACGATTAGGAATAAGGGGCCAAAAAGGGTCCAAAAATAAGCATTTTTCTAGTTTCCAGACAATAACTTGTGTTCCAGTGTATGGATCTCTCTCAAATTGTACTGCAAGGTACCATACCACAAAGGGAAGACTGGGATTGATTTTGGGGGTAATTGCCTCAAAATTTTAGGAATTAGGGGCCAAAAGGGGCAAAAAACAAGCATTTTTCTAGTTTCAGGAAGATAACTTGTGTCTAAGTGTATGGATCTTTATGAAATTGTACTACAAGGTTCCATATCAGAAAGGGACAGCTGGGTTTGAGTTTAGGGGTAATTGCCTTTAACGTTTAGAAATTTGGGGCCAAAAAGGGGCCAAAAAACAAGCATTTTTATACGCCCGTTTACGGGACGTATTATGGTATACCGTTGTCCGTCTGTCCGTCCGTCAGTCCGTCTGTCTGTCCGTCGTCAACATGTCGGACATTAACTCAAAAATGCTTTAACCAATTTGCATAAAACTTTGGTGAATTGTTTATATCTATTGACGTGAGCTCCCTTTTGTTTTTTATAAAATTTAGATTTTACGTTTCCGAGTTATGGGGTTTTATTCATTAAAAAAAGGGGGATTTTCCAGTTTTTGGACAATAAGTCAAGAAGTATTTCACCAACTTGCAAGAAATTGTGGTGAATTGTTTTTATCTAATGACATGAGCTCCCTTTCGATTTTTATAAATTTTAGATTTTACATTTCCGAGTTACAGGGTTTTATTCATAAAAAAAGGGGGGATTTTCCAGTTTTTGGACAAAAACTCAAAAATGCTTTCAGCAATTCTAATGAAACTTTGGTGATTTGTTTGTATGTATTGATGTAAGCTCCCTTTAGAATTTTATAAATTTTACATTTTACATTTCTGAGTTATGGGGTTTTATTCATTAAAAAAAGGGGTGATTTTCCAGTTTTCGGACAAAAACTCAAAAATGCTGTCACCAATTCTCATGAAACTTTGGTGAATTGTTTATATCTATTGATGTAAGCTCCCTTTTTATTTTCATAAATTTCTAATATGACATTGAGAATTAATTGAACTTTATTTGTTTATAGTTTGACAACAGATTTACTAAGTATTGCACAACAGCAAGACATCTTTAATTGAACATAAATTCAATTCATATAACCAATTTCAAGTTCTTTGAATACATTTATTCAGAAACCTATAATATGTCAAATATTTAATTACAATCCAAATTCAGACCTGAATCAAGCTTGAATATTGTGTCCATTTTTGCCCCAACTGTTCAGGGTTGGACCTCTGCGGGCATATCTAGCTGCGCTCAGCGAAGCAGTTTATTCTAGTTTCCAGACAAAAACTTGTGTTCAAGTGTATGGATCTCTCTGAAATTGTACTGCAAGGTACCACATACCACCAAGAGAAGGCTGGGACTGAGTTTGGGGGTGATGAATCATAAGGGGGTTCAAAAAATTTGGGGGGGGGGGGGGGGGATTTTTTTCCTTTTTTTTTCTTTAAAATTTTCAATTTAAAATTGGTTATTTCTGATTTATATATAAAAGCAAATAATAGTGATATGGTTTGAATAGGTAAATTAAAATTTTTTTTAAGTTCTTAGACCACATTCATTCTGTGTCAGAAACCTATGCTGTGTCAAATATTTAATCACAATCCAAATTCAGTGCTGTATCAAGCTTGAATGTTGTGTCCATACTTGCCCCAACTGTTCAGGGTTCGGCCTCTGCGGTCATATCAAGCTGCGCCCAGCGGAGCATTTTATTGTAAATTTCATGTTACAAGCTGAAGCAAAACATGAAATTTTGTGCCCAACTAAAACATATTTTTTCATTAAATTCCACTGTATTAATCTTAAAACCATGCAATTTTGAAAATGGCAGCCAACAGATATTTTGAAAAGGGAGCTGATGATAATACCTTTTATATTTTCAATATTGTCTCGTGTACATATTCACCATATCTTTTCTTCAAGTCAGGTAAGGGCTGTTCCATTAAAATATACATGGTACCCAGGGAAGGCACTTTAAAAATGGGGTAACCACCTATATAGGCAAATTAAAATTTCACTTACATTTCCACTTTGCAAAACATAGATGACACCCACCCATAGTTGCGATTTGGAAGTGTCTTCCCTGGGTCCCATGTATGTTTTTATGGAACAGCCCTAATTACGTTCATCTGATAGTTTTGTTCATTTTATTAACATAATGTTAAATGAATTGAATAACAGGACTAACAAAAGTGTATGCGCTTATTCAAATCTCTCAAGGTTTTTATATTTTATTTGATAAAAATGTCTTAAAAATACCGTATACATAACACTTCTTAAAAAACAATAAGAATAAAAAACAAATCACAGTTCACAATATCACAGATAAAACATGGCATACAAAACATGAAATTCACAAATGATACAATAGTAGTTTGATTTACTGTATGGCATATGTCTCCTGGACAGTTTAATAATCTTGATTACAAGTAAATTTTACCATATTTCTTCTGCATGCATTATTCAATCTAAGACATACATAAAATACTCCACAATTGTAATTTAACATCCCTTAATGATATTCGCTACTCTGTTTTTAAATAACAAGTTTTTTAAAAGACTGTTATAAATTGATAATATATAAATAAAGAAACTAAATAATCAGAAAAAAATGTAGGGTCTGTGAGTTTGTTTTTGAGATATAAGCCGTTGAAAATTTGGCGGGAAACAATTCTCTCTAGATTTTTCATACATTTAACATTGCCACCTTTTTTCTTCCAAAAACGATGAAAAAATAACAAGGATTTTATAAGATTTTAAAAGATGACATTTTAAACTATATGTAATCAAATTATGGAAAGAAAAGTAGGGGTTAGTGGGCAAAATTTTTAATGACACTACATGGATAAAACCAGAGGATTCTGAATAGCTGGCAAAAATTCAAAAACAAGAGGAGCAAACATCCTTAATTTATAATACCTGTCAAATTGGCACCACATGCCCTCAAACAATAAGTTATTAACAATATGAATTTATTTCTGACCTGCATAAATATGAATTAAGTAGATAATATTAGGGAATTGGAACCAATCAAAACTATACGTCATAGCCATTTTTACATGTCATAAAGAATGCCATATTTTGAATTAAAAAATTACACATGATATGATTGCTTGTGGACTTAAATAACATATATAAAATGTCAGCACCCTAATCTTACACTTTTACCTGAATTCTGCCAACTGAATTCCATACATAACTTACATGTAAATAGTATTTGTAACATTTTAAAGATATGTGAAGTCTTAATATTTGGTATATTTATTATTTCAAAAGATTGACCCTTGTAAGTTCAATGAAGATATTTGGCCTGTAGGAATCAATAATTGCTTCTGGTGGCCATGTTTTCATCAAAGTAACAATAGTACTTTTATAAAGGCCCCTACTTACATTATTCCTCTTTAATTTGGTTGTTACCAGTATTATGCTACAAAAGATATATGCTTGAATAAAATCTTCTATGTTGCATATTGTGTTTAGTGTTTATCTTTACAAAAAATTTCTTTTCACCCATAAAATATTGTTATAATCCACTCTTTATTCTGATTCAGTCCATATGGACTATCTAGAATTCATGTTCTAGTTTGATGAGCAGTCAGGTGCATGGTGAATAGGTGATTATGCTTTAACTTTCTGTCCAGATATTAACTGTAGTTTTCCCAAAGCCTTTTCACATGGATCCATTATATCCTGAAAATAAAAGCAAGAAGAGAAATTTAAATTTTGATATAATACATAAAAAGGGATAAAAGAAATCTCCAAAAATGCTGTACAATACAAATGACAATATCAACTTTGATGGAGTTAAATAACATCAGGTCTTGTGGAGTCATTTATCTTTGTGGATTGAGGAAAAACTGTATTTTTGTCAATATTTGATTCATGGTTTTGCCAATGTCTACTACATATAAACTTATAGAAAATCTATACTTCGTTGAACATTCAAATTCGTGGTTTACTTATACCCACAAAATCCCAGAAAAATGAGTATCCCATGAATAATACCAGAGGGATCTTTTTGTGCTTGGAGAGTAGCACTCTTCTTAAACGTGACAATAATTTACTTCACGTCGGAAGCACAGGTTATTGAGTATTTGATGTGTCAAAAAATAAATATAGATAGAATCAACTTTACTACTTTATTACATGCATACCTGCCAACACACCAGTTCTAGGAAGGAGGCTTCCTCTTTAAACTTTGAATTTTGGGCCTGTCACCTGTAAGGGAGCTTGGTCAAATTTTTTCTCTTAGACAAAAAATTACCCTATTTTCACTCCCTTTCATCATTTGAGTTGTTTTGGTAGTATTTTTTTGTGTTTGATTTTCACTTAAAATAAATTCTAGCTAGTCATCACTGTTTTGCAAAAACAATGCTTATTTTGCATAGTAAAAAGACATCCTGGGTCATCAAGAATGTTTTTTTTTACTAATTAAATCTATGTATATTGCGAAAAGAAAGCCGAGTGAGTAAGTCTTTCCTGCCAGTACATAGCCTCTGCATTATCAAGACTTCAGCAGTAGCCTCCCCACGGTAGCACATGGAAACTGATTGCATAAATCAGGCGAATCTGTTGGGGATCTCGGAGCAGCAAGGGCCCCAGAAATGCAGTGTGTAGGCCCATTGGTATGTGGACATGCCCTAGCACTCATTAACCTTGCCCCAACTATGGGTGAAATAGTCGGCCAGGAGAGGGTCGCAGCCAGGTTACAGCAATTTTCCTAAGAGAAGAAAACTCTAAAATCAAAATCAACGGGTAGATCAGACTCGTAAGCCTAGGAAGGCATCTATCTATTGGAAGGAAAACCATAAACAAATAACCCTGGTCCACCAGGTTGGAGGTTGAGCTAGGGGGTAATCTCCCCTACTCATGAAACAGCATCTGATTACGGAAACAAGGAATTAAATCTATGTATAGATAATAAGATTTATCGGTTTGTGTGAAATATTAAAACACTTTGTATCTTATTGCAAAACTTTGAATGAAAAAAGGTTGTCTCACATAATTTCCCCCCTAGTGAAGCTGGAGATTTCCCACTGTGTAGCTCCATAAGACTGGCAGATCAACAGTTACAAGTAAACTATAAAATAGATATTGAAATTATGACTGATAACCATATTATATATTTACCTCCAACTTTCAACTACTTTAAAGTCAGAAATTATTGTGTGCACTTATAATGTCTATTTATGAAGAATGGACAAATATGTGAGATTAATTAGGGCCCGTCCATAACAAATTGTGTCCACTCTATATCTAGAGAACCATTATGATTTCAAAGTTTATACTTGACATGTATATTAACCAACACCAGAGGGTGTGTCATAATGTATGTACAACTTCCTAGGTCAAAGGTCAAGGTCAAAAACTTTGGTTTCAGTTGACAACCCCATGTCCTATGGTAAAAATCATGTCCGCTCTATATCTTGAGAACCGTTATGATTTCAAAGTTTATACTTGACATGTATATTAACCAACACCAGAGGGTGTGTCGTAATGTATGTATAACTTCCTAGGTCAGAGTTCAAGGTCAAAAACTTTGGTTTCAGTTGACAAACCCCATGTCCTATGGTAAAGATCGTGTCCGCTCTATATCTTGAGAACCGTTATGATTTCAAAGTTTATACTTGACATGTATATAAACCAACACCAGAGGGTGTGTCATAATTTATGTACAACTTCCGAGGTCAAAGTTCAAGGTCAAAAACTTTGGTTTCAGTTGACAACCCCTTGTCCTATGGTAAAGATACAAATTTTTTAACGCACATTATTCACAGCGGGGCCCACAAAGATGGCTCCCATCTCAATGATATCTAGTTATTGCAATTTCAGGAAAATCTGCAAGTTGATACAAGTATCAGATATCAGAATGGGAGTTATTATTATTGCGATACTCACCCAGTCCCATTATTCCGATAAAACCTTGCAATAATTTCTGAATTTACACTAATACTTTGTTATTTTTATCTGACATCTTACCCTATTTTCTTTAAATCGTTTAAATATCTGTGATAGAAGATTAGGTCCAACATTTAAATGTTTCATTTCAGCACACACATCATCTGTAAGGTTATCATACAAGAAAAAAACATGTTAAACAATCACCACAAAAAAGCATAAACCAGCAACACACTATTAAACAATTCACCTACACTGATCTTCTTCAAGTCTGCACTTACTGATAAATTTAGTTTCAATGCAATTGAAAAACAACACTAAAAATAATATTATAAATTAGAAGAAGAGCAGTGTAGATTTACTATATTTATTGCAACCAAAGCATATATAGTGAAGTTTAAGTCGAACCCAAGGTCGCCTTGCGATAAACCTGTCTTCTCAGTTTGCCCCCTCTATAGTAATACCTATACATTTTGAACCTCAATTCAAAGAAGGCCAGTTTTCTTTGGTCTAGAGGGTGACCTTTAAATACAGGTTTAACTTAAGAAGCAAGGATTTTGATATATTTTCTTTCATCAAAGGGTGGTAAAGGGTTATTTTCATATATAGCAGTTTATTCCAGTTGAAATGCAGATATTTTCCATATTACGTCAAAATGGCCATGAATGCACCAATCATGCCTAAAAAAAAATTTCCATTAAATTAACATTACTGCAAACAAATCCATTTTTGTGAGCAATTTATCTCAGTGAGTACAAAATAATGTGAATATATTTCGTCACAAATATGTAAAACTTGAGTCTTCTCTTACATCAAGAAAATTCAGTTGGCTTAAAAGGGGTAAAAGAAAAATAATGTATCTTTGAAAATAAGTTAGTTTATACCGGTATCACAGTTTTTAATTAAAATTACAGTTGTTGATTAATAGTGAAAGACAGAATATTTGAAATCCTGATATATTCTTTAATTAATGGTCACTTAGCTTTAAGCTTTAAGTTTGCTGAATGTCAATATATGTGATCACTTCACATGCAAAAAATGAGACAATTTTATTTTATTAAAAATGCTTTGCTAGCTTAAAATGACAATCAAACTAAATGTACACAGGACAAATTTGGTGAAAAAAATGATCAGAAAACATCTAAAAATTGATCTGAAGTTTAGGTTAAGCAATGAAAAAAACTGTGATCACTGATGATCAGTGATGCATATAGCAAGGTAGACCATGGGAAATATAAGTATATTATATCGGGCGTCTTTCATGCTGTCATCTACATTGTAGGTTATGTATCAAAACGCATCATCATTATTTATTCTGTTACAAAAGCATATACATCTTATTAATTTTTTACAAACACCACATCACAATAGCTAAAAGTCACACATCTAACTAATGATACAGCCATATGCCAAAAATCTCACAATGCACACAAATGAACAGCCATATGACATACACCTCACCTTATTTTTTGTAAATTTTTGTTGTATTTCCCATAGATTGAAACCAATCTTATAGTCTGATAAATCCTCACATATATCATCTAGAAGGTGATATTTATACAGTAATATTATATTTGAAAAATGTCATGAGAAAATAAAATCATGTCCCGATACAAACTTTGTATATGTAGTATCTTTTCAACAAAATAATTTCTATGTCAACACATTTCATTCTGATTTTATTCTTTATGAATCAGAAATTATTTTGTAACAATTTTTGTAAGCTATATGTTTAGAACATCTCATTTACAACCAACCATTGTCGAAATTTTTGTTTGTGGCTGTCAGCAGCTACATTGATAATCGTTTTTTTATTAAAATTTAATAAGATTATCTGACATGTTAAAGAAAATAATATTACCACCATTACTGCTGACTATCATACAATTAAAACAGTGATATCACTACATTGACTGAATGTGATGCTATCTGAAATTATTTTATTGTAGAAACAAGATGGCCGGTATTTCAAAATTCCTTGCTTACTAGGATGCTTTAAGAATTTGTGGGGTAAAACACTAATTATTCAATATGACATATAGATCAACATTATCACAAAAGAATAACCCCCACCTGCCATTACTTTTAGTATATTTAAGTAAATCAATCTGATGATCTCCCCTTTAGCAAGTTTGACCTTGATAATATTCCTTTATGCATATCTTCAGGTAGTTTCCTACAAATGTTTTTAAAAAGTTTCATGAAATATCGGTCTAGCTGAGTAAGGGGATTTGCCCTGACAAGGAACATGACCAGGCAGACTGACAGGGGAATTCTATATTCCCCCCTCCCCTAAAAAAAAATAAAAAAAATAGAAAAAAAATATTCAAATGTTATTTCTTGAAAAAATTACATAATACATACCATATTCTGATAATTCCATTACTAATGACACAATACTTTCCACAACCTCAGCATTGTCCTTATGAAGGTCATAGGCTTTAAGTATGATGGGAACTCCTGCCACATGACCTCCAGTTGAAACCTCATTGGTCAATACTCTGTATGCACTTTCCTCTAGAAAAAAGAAATGAGTACTGTGTGATTGATCATCAATACAGTGGTCATATGTGTGAAATCTTTTGATAAATGCTTTACATTAGTATAGTCCAAAACATTACTTTATTAGGAGGTTGATTAGTTATAGATTATTTCAAAAAGCAATGACAAAGTTATCATTCATGAAAAATAAGAAAAAGTTAACAAAAATGAAGTAAACTCCTGATGATGAAAGAAGAATGCGCACGCTGATATGCCTCGCCTGCTTTACTGCTTCTTGTTTTTACTTTTTTGAAATTTTAGATCCAGTTTAATTTCAAATATGAAAAATTTAGACTTATTAAACCAATTAATATGGGTAGTAAAAATAGCAAATATAGCAACATAGTATTCAACAACTGTGGATTCTTTATCATTTATGGGTACTAATTTGTGGATTTTGGGGATATATGTGAAACACAAATCTAATAGTTCAATAAAATACATAATTCTATAGGCTTGTATACTGAATTTTGATAAAATGCATACATATTCTAAAAAATACAATGTTTATCAAAAAAATTTGTAAGGGTTCCACAGAACCCAGTGTCTCGCCTACTTTTGCTGTTAGTCGCAGGCTCAACAAAAATGGGGAAAAAATTATTAAAAGTTTTCCTTTAGATACTATTTTTTGATTGTAAGAAGCTTCTGTTCAAGTTTGGTAAAAATCCAAGAAGGTTTATGAATCTAATAAATGTTTTAAAAACTTTAACTGCAGACTGTACGTAATGTTAACTGGAATAAAATTAAGTCCATTTATAAGTAATATACAGAAAAACAGGAAATAAATGTTTACAAAATTTTCTTCTAGATACTAGCTTTTGATCATAAACAAGCTTCTATCCATGTGTGGTACAAATCCAGGATAGTTTAAGAAAGTTATTAAAATTTTGAAAGCTTTAACCACAGAGAGAATGTTATGTTAACTGGCAGAAAAACTATGTCCATATATGAGTAAAATACAGATAAACAGAATTTTCTTTTTTTACAAAATTTTCTTCTGGATACTATCTTATGATTATAAACAAGCTTCTGTCCAAGTTTGGTACAAATCTAGGATAGTTTAAGAAAGTTATTAAAATTTGAAAAACTTTAACCACAGAGTGAATGTAATGTTAACTGGCAGAAAAACTAAATCCATTTATGAGTAAAATATACGGATAAACAGGATTTTTTTTTTTACAAAATTTACTTCTGGATACTATCTTATGATCATAAACAAGCTTCTGTCCAAGTTTGGTTGAAATGCAGGATAGTTTAAGAAAGTTATTAAAATTTCAAAAACTTTAACCACAGAGTGAATATTTGTGGACGCCGCAGATGGAATGTAGGATCGCTATGTCTTGCTTTTGCGACAAAAGTCACAGGCTCGACAAAAAGACCATGTAAGTTTACTAACCATCTGGTTCCACTAGACTTGCCAGTGCTAGACAAGCATTTTTCACAACTTTTGCATTCTTCATGTGTTTTTCTATTGCATCAATTAATAACCCAACACAGTCCAAGTCTCCCACATTGTCAAAATTCTCATCTGTAAAAGTAAATAAATTATTTCATAGAATTGAGGACTAACAAGTGAATCTGTGAGCTACTGCTCACTAATGATACCCCTGTCCCGCTAAAAGTATAAGGTAAATAGGAATTTGTTGAGTGATGAATCTGAAAACACATCACACGGTTTAGCTGACTCATATAAACTCTGAAACCAAATTTCAGAAATCCTTGTAATGTAGTTCCTGAGAAAGATGTGATGAAAAATATTCATGGGACAGATGGAGGGACGGACGAATGGTCGGACGGATGGATGGACGGAAAGACAGAGGTAAAACAGTATACCCCCACTTTTTTAAAGCGGGGGTATAAAACCAATAATTTCCAAATAAATATACTACATTATGTACATGTATTATCTATATCTTTTTTCAGTCTCTTCAGAGGTTACTTCCCTTTGATGATGATGCTGTATTAGTGATTTTTTTTCCTTTGATGATGATGATGAGTTTATGACTTTTTTCCTTTAATTGTGGTGATGTTTTGGTGATTTGATTTCCTTTGATGGTGATGTATTGGTGATTTTTTTCCTTTGATGATGGTAATGATGGATTTGAATTTTAAGTCCAGAGGAAAATTTTCCTTGTATATCAGGATGAGAACAGGTTTAAACTTTATGTGGAATAAATATGTACCCTTTTTTGTACTAGACTGACAGGCTGAGTAGGATTTTAATCATACAAGTTCACACCGTAACAGTACGCATGAAGACATGTCACCCTACCTGGACACATTATTCTGGTAGCAAACCAGTCTTATGTAAGGAAAATGGTTTCTCAAATTTATATAAAATTGGGAATAAAAGTTTCTCTTAAATCTTCCAATTTTTTCTTTTGATATAGTCCTGGCATAAACATAAATAATGTTGTTAAGGTTACCATTTAGTGTGAGAGACAGGAGAGCAGCCGAGGCAGCTTCTGCCACATCTGGTGAGTTCATATGTGTCTTCAGCGCACCACAGACATGTGATATGGCTTTCTGTTCTGTTGCTATCTTTACATTATCCTCTACAAAATAAATTTGTCCAATTTTAATTTTATCTTGATATTCTGACTACAGCAGATCTAATGAAAGAGTTGTAGGAAACTAAAAATATCATTGCCTATGTCTTTACTTGTAGGAATTTACTGTGATATGTGTTTAAAGATGACTTTTATAAGGGCAATCTAAGTGCTAGCTAAGCTAGTTTTTTCAAGGACCAAATATATTCCTGTCTCTGTATGACCCTTGTCAATGACTGTATAGCAAATAGGTTATTAAACTTTGGACAAACTTAAGAATTTTTTTCTCAGATTTTGATTTATTCACAAAACTTTTTATATATATATATATATATATATATATACATTATATCAGCTTAAAAAGGGCTTAACAACAAATCATTTGATTTTATGGAATTCAAATACATGTATATGTAAAGTTATCTGGTTATACTTGACCCATAATGAAAACATTTTTTTTAACTCTGATACATTATAAGTTCTTTTAATCTTTGATATATTATCATATACAATCTCATTAAAATACATATTCGGTGTCCACACTTTGCTAACAAGGATTTGACAGCACTCCGTTCTACTTTCTGTTTTATAAAACTTCGGAATTCTCTGTTGTAATGAAACACACATTAAAAAAATTGTTGGTAGGAATTTAATTGGCCGATGTAATAACTACCATTATAAGTTATATGGTTCGCTACTGACCCCCTACGGATCAATAGAGGGTTAGTAAAATCCATAGGGGGTGAGGCCGAAGGCCGAATCTCCTATGGATTTTATTCACCCTCTATGATCCGTAGGGGGTCAGTAGTGAACCGTATAAAGAATTTATCGCACGCGGGACTTTTTCTGCTGCGTTTTGTAGAAAAATAAACAATGAAACACAACAACATTAATAGATGACGTCACCATTAACAGTAGACGCGACGTCAGGAACCCCCTATGAAATTTACTAACCCCCTACGGATCCATAGGGGTCACCACGTGATGGCGTTCAACTAATCACAACGTGATAATTTACCCGCGGTGCGATAAAACAGAAAGTAGCATGGAGCGTTATCAGATCCTAGCGTTGACACAGGATCTGTATTCTATCATATATAATCCTAGCTATCAATCTCCACTGGAGATAATTGCCATACTCTGTATACTTACCTACAACTGCCAGACTCCACAAAGCATGGCAACATGTTGAACACAACTCAGGGTTATTGGGGTGTGTCTTAAGTGCAGTAATAATGTGTTCTACACCTCCATAGAGACCAATTACTTCAGCTGCACCCTCTGTAAGTATAAAGACATTAGCATGAATTCCTGTTATTTTTCTAATATTAGATCTACAAGTTGTCTCCCATTTATTTAAAATAAACTGTTAACATAGAGATATGTCTCACCTTTTAGTTATTTTGATAATGCAAATGTTGAAATTAAAATGATATGAGGTTACAACTTGAGAACGATTTAAAAAATGCTGACAGGATCATTTTTTTCTGTGAAGAGAAAGATAGGATTTGTGTGGATTGCTTATTTCAATTGTTATCCAAGTGATGTGGATATCCGTAGGATTGCTAACGCAATGAAAATCATTTATGTATCAACAACATATAATTTTTTAAGAAAAATCTATGGATTTAAAATTGGAGATTTGTTGATTTTAATATAAATTTAATAACGTATTTAGCTGATTTTATGTGCTTTTTATACAAATGTTCACCTATTTTGAAAGACTTTAATCAGTAATATTTCAGATAAAAAAAAAGATAAATGCATTATTTTTTTCGATTTTCAGTTATAGTTCAACGAGGCAAAGTTGTATGGAAAATTTTACCAAAACCTGTGCCCTAGTCCATTTACTGTAACTTGACCTTAAGTACAACTTAGCTACTTTGATGTAATGGCTAACATTTAAAGAAATGGAAGCAGTTTAAGATATTGTGATCGACAGGTAAACAATAGTAACGTGAAATCATGTTAAAAGACAGTGTTATTACCTTGTGAGGCTAATGCCATTAAAAGTGCTGCACCAGACTGTTGGAGTTCTGCAGATGTTTCATGGTGCTGTAAATAGATATTGAGGTGTATTACATCAGAAATGCTCCAAACTTATACATATTTTCTTGTACCTGGGGACACAAGTAATTGTTGTTTTCACAAATGGTTTTTGAAAAATAGATTGTACCTGAAATCAAAATAGCGAAGAAAATAATAAATAGCATTTTCTATTTAAGAAATATGTTAATCCTTTTTTTTTCTTTTGTGAGTTACTGTAGGTTCTGATCAAGCTCTTTAAAAATTTGAAATATGAATTATAATTCTCCTGGATAAATACAACACTATTGCAATTCATTAACAATTCTGAAACAAATGTAATTAGTTTCATCAAATCACACTGAACAACTGGTCAGATATTTTACAAAATGCAGGAAGATATTTTACTCTCCCAAGACTCCAAACTGACATGTCTGTGCTCTTACTCTTACATGCAGTTACTTGGTGGAGAAGCAGCAACTACCAATTTTAAAGTCTATGTTTGATCTAGCTGGGTGATTAACCCTTTACCCCCAGCACTCAATAATCCTATAGGCTAAAAGACTCATCATATAAATTTACTAGAAAGTAAATTTTGGTGGATCAAATTAATAAAATACCATACCTCCATAGCAACTGGCACAATAGATATAATCTCTGGTGTAAATAAAACATCATCAGTTTGTGCTGAAAATAAAAAAAATATTAGGTGAAACATGATCACAAATTCTAGTATCTGTATAAAACAACCTCCTTTGTCAATGTAAACAATAGTGAAAGCTTGTTTTTTTTCAAATTGGGATAACATGCATTTCATTAATTTAAATGATGTCCACTTGTCTTTTAAGTCTTAGAATAATCAGATTCACAGAAAGCAAAAACTAAATAAACATTGATAATATTTACACAGAAGTCTAAGAGCAGGCTAGGTGAAAAAATGTGAGGACGATAAGCAAAATTTCCATTTCAAATATGTTTTTGCTTTAAAAAAAAAAGGGTGAAATGCTCATCTTTCCATTAACTTTTCATTTGGAATATGCCCAACAGGAAAAAAGTTTTACTGGTGATACATTTTCATGTTACATATATAAATACTGTGATTTTGTGAAAATAAAAATTGTATTTCAAAATTGTAAGAAATTTTAATTGTATGCATTCTGTCTAGAACACTGGCAAAAATGAAATATAGCTAATATATAACATGTATAAGCACTAGTGTCTTTTTCTGTTCGTCATGAAATAATTCTTTTGTTTCATGCTACTTGCATCTATCTTATAAATATATTATAATTTAACTACTCTCTAAGTTAGAGTTCTGACATGCAATACTTAATTATACTGTGTATTTGGAAATTAATACTGATCATCAAAAATTGTCTGAAATGCAAATTCAGTAATATGAAAAAAATTGATCTTCTATTTAGTAATTTGAGTGAATATGTGACTATTTTAACATAAAAATCGAACTTTTTTTCTTTGTATCAACAAAAACAAAACATATCACTTATTTCTGAAATAATAGTACCTCATATATAATGTTTAAATTGTTTTATTATGCAGATGACTTGAAAGAAACTTCAATTCAAAGGTATATTGAAGTACATTATTAACCATGTTGTTATTGTAATATAAACAAACTCTTATTAACTATAGAATCCAATATATGTCCAAGTATTATTTATAGACATTAGTTTTTATTTGTTTATAAATTGTAATTACAATAAATGAAACTAATAACAGCTACAGTTAAATTGGGACAAAGGATTTAGAAATTGTTCTTAATTGAAAACTTATTTCACTCTCAATTTAATAAAAACTAAAATAACTTTGATGGCTAGACAATAGGGCTAGGAAGATTAATTTATTCTATTGGGTTATTGCATGAATATTTGTGAATATTGTCCTTAGAAGATTTTCATGTTCCATGAGCTTGCAAGAGCATTATATATATTCTACAAGGGATAATATTCACCAAATCCATGTAATAATCCTTTTATTGTATAGCACAGCTTAACAAACTGTTTAACTAAACATGATTTTGTCACCAATGATGTGGATAGTTTGAAGCTGTTTGCACGAGAGCAATATCATAGAATATTGCATCATACATTTCCATTACGTTTTGTGGGAAACATTACATTGCTAAACAATCATATTGTTTACATAAATATCCTATAACTAGTATTAAAGGGGCACTAGCTACGAGATATATAAAAAATCTAAAATATGATTTTTTTTGTTCAACCATTAATGAAAGTGAAATGGTGAAATAATAGTTCACTCTTAGTAGCCAGTATGGTTCAATTTTGTCAAAATAAGCTAAGAAATATTGATGATGAATTATTCACTTGCAAGTGAATAATTCGACCTCATTGAATCCGTATTCATGTGAACTTCAATTTAACCCCTTAGCTAGAGATGAATAACACATGAGTTGTGTGTGTGTTGTTATTTAAAGGAAAAGAATGTAAACATTGAAAGTGAAACAAAGGTAAATCAATTGATATACTGATTCGATCCACAAAAAATAATTCTTACACAGGTAAAAAAGATGATTAACATATATTTTTAATCTATAAATGAAATTAAACCAACCTAGAAAAATCCAAATGCACGATTTCATTCAAGAAATAATTCATGGAAGCCATAGATTTGTTGGACATTTACACAAGGCCTGGGCTGTGATATTCGTTAATTTTATCCTGAGCGTTATCTATGGCTTCCATGAATTATTTCGATTCTAATAGGACAAATACAGTAATTTAAAAACTGAAGCGAACTTAAGATTGCCGTGTGTATGGCTGTTCTATTTTACCCCCTGCCAGATAAAAGCTACAAATTTCATATAAATCTAAGTCTTACATGAATTATTTCTCAAATAAGCAGTCGAAAAAATGTGTTCAATTCTCATAATTCTTACCCCAAACATTTATTTTTCGTTGGCTACTATTTACTGTCAAATCCAGAGTTGACATGTCGTAACTAAGGAGTGAGCCGCCATGTTGACTTGCTGAAATCCACAAATGTGCAAATAGTGCAATGGAATAGAAAATGAAACAACACCTACCTCAAAACTCCATTTTAAAGCAATAGTATCCGAACTTAGGGAGTATACGTAACAGAAAATATTCAGCTTTAGAGTTTTCATTCGTATGACGTCATGTTATGACATGACGTCAATGCGCCAAGATCATTCATGAAATTTGGCTGAATTTTATTTTATTTTGATTTTATACATTTTTTAAGCTCTTGTGCATTAATTATTTTTGTTATGCAATATAATATTAGGAATAACGGTTCTGTAGTTTCTTTTTCAATTTCAATTTGGACACAACGAAATCGACATAGTGTTTGCACATAGGTTACGATACATGTGGATTAACATGGGAGGTAAATAGTATCAGCCACCAATATGCACATCTCTGAGTCTGCGCTAAGTATAGATATATCTAGAATTTTATCACGGTGTTGTTTACAAAGGGAAAGAAGCACGTCATATTAGAATGTCTATTTATATCTATATTTAAGTTTATATCGCTTATATGGTCATCAGAGGTCTTCTGAGTTCAACTCGATAGTTAATTAAATGGCGTCTAGACTAAAATACACACTAAACGAACTACATATTATCGAGCCCATGCCCTGTAAATTGTTTATTTTAGACTTTTTATTATTTAGATAAATGTTTTACATTGTTATGAATCAAATATGAGAATTTGAGTCAAATTGGTGAACATGAATTTGACAGCTAGTGCCCCTTTAAGGTTTGAGTCTTAATTTGATTAAAATATCTGTAATTTAATCTGATTTTTTAGGGGGAATAATTTGCAGAAATTATTTGAGTTTATACAATGAATAAAATATAATAATATGTATCTTCATTTCAAATTAACTAAAGGGTATTATTTCATTTCAAATCATAATAATTACGACAATGGTAATACTCCCATCACTTGATTCAGTTTGGCTGCTACACAATTAAGGACATTATATGGCTAGTATATAAAAAAGGTTAACTGATTATCATACCGATCACTAATTTACTTTTCAAGACCACTAGATATTATATGACTGAATACTTGTCAGTAGCAACTCATGGATTACTTATTGCGAATCCAATGAACGTTTTCCACAGTGCCATCTCTATCTTGACCAGGTATTTAAACTTTTGCAAGTTCACCTGTCCTATTGAATGAATACAATAGCTATTTTTCTCTGTGTAGTTTTTTCACTGGGACCTTTAAATTTCTTCTAAGAGAAATCTATCACTCATTGATTAATTTACCCCAGTAAAAAAAATTTCTTATATATAGACAAAAATACTTTTTTTATACTAATTAACTGGGTGTGATGATGTATTTATTCAATATTAATAATATATTTTCATTCAGTTTAATATAAACATTGATTCAATCATAAAAAGTTGATTTCAAACAAAAGTTTTATCAATGTTCCTATTGAAATTTGATTTTTTTTGTCTAGTTAATAGAATACATTTAAGAAGATCTTAATTTGAACATCATAATTTTCAAGTTTTTATTCATGTCAAACAAATTTTTTTTTAAAAGGAACAATGTTGAAAGTTTTGTCAGAAATCAACTTTTTATGATTGAATCAATGTTTATATTAAACTGAATGAAAATATATTATTAATATAACATAAATCAACGCTAACATGTTTAACCCCGCCACATTCTGTATGTTTGTGCCTGTCCCAAGTCAGGAGCCTGTAATTCAGTGGTTGTCTTTTGTTTATGTGTTACATATTTGTTTTTCGTTCATTTTTTGTACATAAATTAGGCCGTTAGTTTTCTCATTTGAATTGTTTTACATTGTCATTTCGGGGCCTTTTATAGCTGACTGTGCGGTATGGGCTTTGCTCATTGTTGAAGGCCGTACGGTGACCTATAGTTGTTAATTTCTGTGTCATTTGGTCTCTTGTGGAGAGTTGTCTCATTAGCAATCATACCACATCTTCTTTTTTATATTTTATTAATGTTTCAACTTTGCATCACTGTTTACATTCAACCGATTGAAAATATATTATCAATATTGAATAAATATAACATCACATGCAGTTTTGAGTATAAAACTTGGATGGAGAGTTGTATCATTGGCACTCATACCACATCTTCCTATATCTATTTTCCTCTATTTACCAAATTTTTTTTTACTCAGGTAAATTAATCAATGAGTGATAGATTTCTCTTTGAAGAAATTTAAAGGTCCCAGTGAATAAACTACACAGAGAAAAATAGCTATTGTATTCATTCAATAGGACAGATGAACTTACAAAAGTTTAAATACCTGGTCAAGATAGAGATGGCACTGTGGAAAACTTTCATTGGGTTCGCAATAACTTGTGTCTCAATTACATATTTGCCTCATTTATGTAATAGTTCACCGTTTCAGAATTAAATGCATTCTGGGTAATATTTTCAAAGTGTACATCAAAAATCATAATTGGTTAAAAATATCCTAACCAATGGAAATTCAACCAATGATGTGACGTTATTATTAATTTTGGGGTACAAACAATGAAATTACCCATAGTCCTCTAGATTCTGAAGCAGACTACAACCAGTCAGGCCTAATTCATGAAGTAATAACTCTAATGAATAATTTATATTAATGACTTTGAACGGTCTTTGTTCATTTTGAGTTAAACAGTATACTTTTGTCTCAGACATCAGAATATTCATATACACATAGAAACAACATAAAATTGCAACAAACATTTGTGAATTTAGTGAAACATTGCATATAAGTTAAACATTTGAATGATTTACTGCAGTAACCAGTTTAATGAACAGTGTGTATTATGGTACATAGAATATTATTTATTAGTATCTTAGGAATCACTCAGGTAACATTTTTTCATTTATACCTTCTCTTAATGCTGAAAACATAAAAAACAAACTTCTTCAATATCAATTCATTAATGTCAAATAAAAAAAAAGGTAGCATGGTTTTAAATATATACAAAAGTTCTCAAATATCTGAAATTCAGTGTGTTTTCACAAAATTTCATCTTTAAGTTAAAACTTAAATGAAATATGAGGCAATAGAACTTAAGAAAAACAAAAATGATGATTAATTTATAGCTAACATTTTAAGAAAGTAAAATGATTTAAATTTCACAGCAGAAAATGGCTGATGAAAATTTCTTGTTCATCTGTAAAAGAAGTTCTGCAACTTAGAAGCACATAACACAACCCTGTAATAGATTTATTTATATGTGATTTCAAATTATCTAACATTGAGGAAAAAAATCAATTTCAAGGAAGTATCTAGATAAACACTATAACTCAGTAGCATGTTATAGTATTTACTGACAATCTGTTATTTTCAAGTGAAATATCAAACTAATCACATAAAGAATACTAAATATACAAAAAATGCTAAGTTAAACTATATATCTCTCATACAAAAATGCATGGTATAATATTAGCTTATATCATGCAACTACCCAACCATTAACTATCATTATTTCTTGTCAATGGTACACAAAACCAAATGTTGGAAATCTGAAAGTATAAGACTTTGATAGCAATAAATCAAAAAAAGAAAAACAAACATAAAGAGCACTTGTGCATCAGACTGAGAATCTTTATCAAATACAGGAAAGGCGATATCATGGCTGTTCCATTTAACGATGAATGGTACCCAGGCAATTGAAATGGGGTAACCACCTACAGAAGCAATTTCTGAATTTGCCTTACATTTACAATGTTCAAAAAGAATTTGACACCCACCAAAAATAGCAATTTTGAAATGCTTTCCCTGGGTCCAATCTTTGCTTTTATGGAACAGCCCTTAGTCTGAATAAACCAAGATAATTCTGAATAACTTTTACTAACACAAACATGGTTGAATAAGCACTCTAGAAGCAGTTATAATTCTATCCATACTACCCTACCTGTTATAATTAAACTGTTAAGTATGTTAAAGCCAGCTATTTGTATGTCTTTATCTAGCAGATTATTTCGCATGGCAGCTTTAATCATACGTTTTCCACTGGCATCAATTTCAAACACTTCAACTTCCTTTGTAAGTTCTACAAGATACTCCAAAGCGGATCTAACATTGTCTTCATAATCTACCATATTGGCAAGATACTGTACTACTGGTCTTATTCCCTTTCCTTTTGGCAATTCAGCTGACAAATATAAAATTAATTGTATAAGTGATATGAATTTAAAGTTTGCCATGCTCAGAAGCCATTCAGAATATACAGTTTACTTATATTTTTTTGTGCAAAATTTTCTCCCCTGCTTAATAATTTACCTCAAATTTGTTTTTCCACAAATATAAACATTATATTATGCGTGGGTCAAAAAATGATTTGGTTGCACAGAATATATATGGTATTCTATAAATTTTGCTGAAAATATATGACTAAGTTTCAAAGTCTGGAAAAATAGGCAAGAATTCCTTAATAGCAGGTACACAACTTTTTAGTGTGTATTTCTGTGAAGTTTCAGGGATATGGATTGAAAACGGTAGGAGGAGCTGAATTCACAAAACTGGTACCATCTTTTGTATGTTTTGCTAAAAAATAACTTCAACGTTACAATCTTTCTTTGAAGTGTCAGTTATCTGGGTTGAAACTGTAGCAGAAGTTGATTTCACATAATAGGTAAGTTTTATATAAGGCAGCTTGACCAAAAATTTATTTGCAAAGTACAAAGTCATACCACAATTATATAATTACCTTTCTATTGACTTCATGATGCAGTTATTATTTTGGAAAAAGGAATAGGCCTTAGAAAATTCTGCATAGAAGCCTAAGGAAAATATATAAATTTGTAGGACACTTAAATTTGTTGTGACTCTTTACCCACAAATCCTGGACATTGAGTGCCCTACAAACAATAAATGAATCTACAATACATGTAAAACATGATAAAGTAAACATACTTTTGTCTACCGGTATTATAATGGATTCTCTCCTCTTTCTCTTCTCTAACTGTGAAGCATCACTTCTTTTTACACATTCCTGTACATAATTGTTTTTGTCTTGCAATTCTCTGAAATGGTTATGACAAACAAATTACATCCTTGTCCTTTGGTCTTTGGTGGGAAGTTGTCATTGGCAATCATAACACATTTCCACATTATCATATAAAATACCAATAATAACTGGGAGATATATATATATATATACTCCATTAGCAGCTCCTGCTGGATTGCAGCTAACTGATTTGCAAATAAATTGATGATTCGGATGATTTTGTTGTACATAGAAAACATAAAATAATTATTTATTTCCCCAAAATGCACTGGTTGTAGCTTGATTTTACTTCTTTTAGTTGCTCTTACTTGTCTGAGTACCAAAATGTCTTACAACAGTGTAAACCTTTGAATCAAAAGTCAGTAATATGAAAATAGTCTATTGTTTTCCAGTGGAATTAAAACATTTTCATCCAATCTTACAGTTTATAATTTTTATGCATATAATCAATGTTAATTGAAGGTATCTAAATAAAACTTGAAAAACTTTTTCTTGCTGGAATGACACAAATTGACAGAGATTACATGTACTTTAAAAATTATTATCAGTACCTCGAGAATTTTTTTTTTTTTAACATTTTCTAGTTGCTGTCACATTTTCTTTAATTCAAAACATAATTTTAAATGATTAACTGAATATTTTCGACAGCAACATTAAAAAACATAATGTAACATCATGTTTATTAAGTTAATAATTTGGAAGCGACTGTCAAACAAGAGTTATCTATCATGAATTAACTATTTACCTTGCTGTTGGTCTTTTATTTCTCTTCAGAGTATTTCTAAGTAAGCTTATTATATCACTTGAATAGAACTGAATAAAAAGAAAGACATAGGATGCTTTGAAATTTCTAAAACAGTTTACAATAAAAATTGTCAAAACAAAACAAAAATATTTTTTCTCACCATTTCTTTCAAATAATAATAATTTTATAAAAGAGAAAATTTTAGTATGATTTCACTACTGGTTAAAGAGATTTAAAAAAATCATTGTATTGTCAAGACATATTTCTGAATACCATACACAACTTTGTGTTTTGATAATATGTAAAAAGAAAAGCTGCTAGCTTTAAAGAAAATTAATTGAAGTAGGTTATGCTGAAAACAAAGTATGATAAAACAATCAGAAAATAATTATCACACCATAAATAGCACAATAAATGCAATCACAGTATGTCTTGTGTACAAAAACATCAACATTTTTTAAATGGTATTGTCCAGTGCAATGTTAAATAGATTCATTTTTTGTACATTTTTTTCCAAAATAGAATAGAAAAATTCTTAATTTTACAAGTAACTTTTTATGGTTTGCTGTTTGTATGACTGTTTTGAATGAAGGCTTAGATTGCATAGTTTGCACAACATTAAATTTTTCTATAATACATTGTAAACCAAAGGCAGCTGTTGATCATTTTCTCATGTAGAAGTTCATCTCAGTGTTCTTGATACTCTTTTAATTAGCAATTTCACATATATATATTAGCATGTAAAAATATCTGATATTAATTATACATTTTTTCTAAAATGACAAAAGTACTGTGAAGTTTTTTCATAATAATCTCTCATGGCAAGATTAATATATCTGACAATGAAAAGAATATTATCTCTTATGATAAATCAATTTTCTCTTATGTTATCTCCCCTTATATTATTTCATATTGCAAACAGAATCATTTTTAATAATGATTTTGTCAATGTACATATGTTTACTTTCATAATTGTAATTTCAGATATTATTGTATGCATTTATCATTGTGATTTTTAAAGAATGAACACAAATGTGAGATTAATTATTGCGATTTCAAGCAAATCTACATACAGATATATGTATTGAATTCAGAAGTCAAAGAACACAATAACATATATCTTTTTACTTACTCTTGAAATTTCTTCAAATATCTGTTCCATTACAAATGAGTCTTCCTTTATATCTCTGATTTTATCCATAATTTCTTCTTGTGTATATAGGGATGTTGTTGTCAGCTCCAATAAGATACAACCGAAGGCCCATACATCAGATGCCAGGGTAAACTTGTCAGTCACTTCTGGAGCCATGTAGTTTGTTATATCTATAGAAAAAGAAAGGATGCCTTTTTCATTTGTTATGAAGCTATGTCAGAAACTCAGTTTTAGGATTGTATTTCTGTCACGAACCTATTTTGTTTATAATACATATAATGGGCCACCCTTAACAAATTCTTTGTTTGATGTTGCCTACCCATGCCTTGTAGGGTTGGGTAGGTAGGTAGGGATTTTATTTTTTGGCCAACAACATAAGTTACATGTTTTAGACAAGAAAACGACATAAGAGCACAAAAAAACAATTTTTTCGGTAGTAAAAAAAACATTATGATAATCATACTCAAAAAAGTTTATGACTGCAAGGCCTGGACTTGAATAGTTTTGTCCTATTAGGAATATGGATGGCATAAGTTGTTAAATTTTTTTACAACTTGTCTAAACCTTTTGCCATTAAAAAATTGACATATTGTAAAGACATGTGTCTTTTGTTGAAGACTGTATGTTGACATTTAGAAGTCTTTATGTTATTTTAGTCATTGAGCTACTGTCTTTGTTTACCCACATCTCGTTTGGTTCACATTATAAGCCAATAGATGTATTGACATTTTGGGTATTAATAGCTGAATTTGCTCCAAATGACCATATAAACGTCTCTGAAAAATCTTCTGGTGTCATGCAACAGTCACTTTTAATTATGATGTCAAATGTTTTAAATTGTGACACAAAATTTTACGGTAACTTGTTTGACTTTACAGTACCATTCAAACGAAACAGCTCTCCCACACCCTACACCAAGGAAAATTTCGGAGTCACTACGAGAAACTCCGATATTCCTCCCAAAATGTTGGGAGGAATTTAGGAGTAATCTCTCCCAAAATCGTGTAAATGTTAATTGTGATAGCAAGCTCACTCCCAACAACAAGGAATTAATTGCCCTAATCCTACTTTAATCTATTCCGGATTAAAACTGATAGGGTAATTGGATTACCTGATGTAATAAACAATTATATTTCCAGTCTACTATACCAGTTTAAGTGTCAAACAAACTTGTGTATAATTTTAAATGTCTTTTTATATTGGTTAAGTTTAATTTTTGTGTTAAAAATAAGTTAAAATATTTTCGTATTTCTTGCTTGCTAATCTAAAAATATCTTTACCTAAATGGACTTGCTTGTTTAAAAAAAACAGACATTACCGAAAAAGGTTTATAAAATTTTGTGGAAAATGTGGCAAAAAAACACGAAATTGTACTTCAAAGCTGAATAAATGTGAGCAGTTTAAAGAAAATTATGTGTCTCAAAGTTTTGTATATGCAAATAAAAAAGAAAATATTAATTCACCATTTGTTATGCTTAATAAGTCTACGGCATTTTCTTTTTACGATTTGTTGGCATTACTTTAGGATAATAATACATTTCGGCTACAACAGGAATACACAGCTGCATTAACTCGACTTTGCATAATATTTATTTACGCACAATGAATGTAAACTTGTGTGTTGTATTTTGGACAGTGATCTTAAAAGATTTTAAAAGAAATTAATTTGCCGTAGGAAGACAATTCCACGAAACACATCTCAGTGATCAACATTGTGTGGTTGAACTCAAACTTGACTTCGCTCACAATATCAAATGCTAAAAATAGCTGACATCAATTTTATCCACAGCACGAGATTTTTATTTGGCGGGAAATAATATCATGTACCAATAAACTCAGGTGAACTCTGAACGACCGTGGGAAAGTTCATTCAGGTTTGCTTTGTATTAATGACGGACATTTTTGTGCATTAGTATTGAGGCTCTAGAAGGTCCTTTTACAATTGATTAACAGGAATCTAAAATATAATCCTTTTCTAAATAAACGAACACACGTCTTCTTTAACTATTTTATTTTTTATGTTTTATCAGTCAAAACAGGACGTAGACCTGAACATTAGTTATACGTCCATGGTCAACAATATAAATTTATTGTAGATGAAAACACGATGCATGTCGTTAAGTTGGGCGTTGGTAGAGATCCTCTGTGAAAATGTGTAGATTGTTAAAATCCTGTCCACTTATTTTTTCACATATTTTTTTCTTGTAGCATCTCGGTACACAATATAATTTCATTTTAATATTTTACGTATATATATTTGATTTTTTTCTATAGTAATTGTTGAAATAGTTCATTTTTTTCATTTCGCCAAGGACTTTTAACGAGCGGTAAAATACGGATTGCGCTCATGCAATTTTATTTTAAATAATTAAAGATCAATAACAGAGATCAACAAATGATTTTTTTCCATATAATTAATTAAGTTGTGAATGTTGTGTTGTGCCTGGGCGGGGAATTTCTCTCAGTGTTTTGTTTTTATGAATAAAGGGCATGCATACAAAACTTATTCCCTTTGTTCAACAGAGTTGTCACTTTACAGTTTCTTTTCTGAATTCAAATAATTTCAAGTCGGTCATGTACCGAGGTAGTGAAACATTATATTTTACATTGCAAAATAAATATGCACCGGAAATTGCTTACTGAGTAAGTCATAAAAGATTCTAATTGTGGTAAAATCGTCTTTGTTGAAAGAACACAAAGTATGACCTCACCGGACTATAATAGAAATACAAAATAAGTTTTTTCTTTGTATTCTTATTCGTTTGTACGTTTTATTTCAAATGACAATGACATGGGGCAAAAACATATAAGAATAATTATCTTATGCTGAATGATAATGTCACATCTTTAACTGTCAAAGAAAGGAAAACATTTTTTAAAATTTTAATACCTGTTTTTAAAGCACACAGGTGCAATCAAGATCGATTAGATGTACATAGGTAAATAATCTGGCTAATCTGATTATGTTGTCACGCGTCGTTAATTTTAGGACATCCGATGGGCAATAAACCAATTAACAGCCACACAGTGTTGGGAGAGAATCTTTGGAAGAAACTGGGAGTATAATCCGCGGCACACGGTGTGACTCCAAAAAACACAGAAATCGGAAAAAAACGATTTCGAATCAATCTGTTTAAATGATACTGTAAGTTATGGCAGACAAATTTCCATACAAGTGTAAATAGGTTTACAAAAGTTTTTTTTCGACATACATATAGATAAATTTATACTGTGACTCACAACACCAAGCATTTTTGGTCAGTAAAACTAACTTATTGTAAAATTTTTAGTACATGTACTATAATTGTTTATGCACTCTGCAAAAAAAAAAAAAATTATTTAGTAACCCAACTGTAACCCCGTACGAAATTATAAGGCGTATTACGCCTGGAAATCTGGCGTAAACCAGGCGTAAGTGGTAGTTACGTGTCCAGATCCAGGCGTAAGGGAACAGGAAACGTAAATTTGTAGTCCTTACAGGCGTAGAAAATATGGTAAACCTGGCGTAAATTGAAATAAGCAAGGCGTAAATTTTCCTACGGGCGTAAAACCGTTGGTATGGCGTAAATCATAATACCCATAATGCTTTGTTGATAAAGGATCATGGGATTTTTTTTCAAAATTTTGCTCTTTGGTATTATTTTGCAAGAGTTGGACTTATGGCAGCTTTATATATTTAGGGATAATTATGGCAGCTTTATATATTCAGGGTTTTGTGCTTTTTGGAAGAATTTGAAATTGGAATTATGGAATCAAATTGATTAATGAAAATTGTGAAATAAAAGGAAAGTAATATACATGGTAAAAGATAATTATGTGAGTACGTAACTAAGATTTTTTTTAACAGGAATTTTGAATTTTGAAAACCTTCATCCTTGGATGATAACATTAAAATCTTTCACAAGTTAAATTGCAGTATTATCATTGATATTTTGGTTCAAATGACATTAATTTTCAAAAAAAACTTAGTTACAATGCTGGTTTTATTTCAGGAAGAATTAATTGTCATTATTCTAATTTAAACTTAAACTTATTTGAGCCAGTGTCTGTCTAATATGTATTTATTTATATAGCTTCTTCAATTACTGGTTAATATTTCTAGTTTCATGTCAAACAATGAGAAATTTAAGCAATAGTACAAAAGTTTGTATCAAAAAAACAAAAGTACACAGCTAGGGTAATACACTGATTTAAAATAAGTGTAGTATTATGTAAGGATATTACGCCTGGTTTTTTTATTGACCAGGCGTACTCATTTGCATATAACGCCTGGTTTTCTGTGGACCAGGCGTACTCATTTAAATATTACGCCTGGTTTCCACCTCAGTTACGCTTGGTTTCCGCCTGGTTTCCGCCTGGACATGCATTCCGTAAACACTACAATGACGCCCTGATAGAGTATGATTTCTACGCCTGGTTTCCGTGTCATTTACGGGCGTCCCATTTCGTACAGGAACATGTGTATATTATCTAAAAAAAGCTTTTGAGCAAGAAATGCTATATGTTTATAACTTTCAGTGCAGATAACAAAAGTAAGTTTACGAGTGAAAAAAATAAAGCATAAATTCATAAAAATTTCAGTCATTTTTCAATCTTTCAAGTCACTCAGAATTTATATATTCTTCAACCTTTAAAAAAAATCTTTTTAGAGAAGAAAAATTTAATAATAAAAAATAAATTCCATCAGAATTGTCTAACAGTCTACAAATTGTATTACAATGAACAGCAATATACTAACCTAGTGTTGATCTTGTGCATGTTCTGGTATCTCCCATTACTGAGGCAACAGAAAAATCTCCAAGAACCAAATTACCATCCTCATTTACATACATATTATTGGGTCTAACATCTCTGAAATGGAAAATATAATTAGAAAGAGGCTAATACAAAAATTATTCAATCTATATTTTCTATTTCGTTAAGCTTGTTAATTAACTAAAAAAAAATCTGTAAATGAATAGGGAATAGAAAAACGGTGAATAAACCTGATAAGATCATTTGTGAACTTATATTTTGTGTAAAACCTTTTTGAGAAACTTGGTAAACGTGGATGATATTTTTTAAATTTGCATATTGTATGTTTAAAAACTATGTTTCCCTCTCTGTACCTTTGTTAATTGGTTTTAGAGAATAAAGTACCCTATGTTTGACTGTAATGTCTATTTTACAAGACAATGCAGTTTTGGTGTAAACAAAAGGACTTTCATTTATCATTTGATGAAACAATTAATTATGAAACTTGATACCTGTTTGTTTGTTTTGTTCGATCAATTTCAATTTCATTCAAAGAAATTGGTAATTCCTTATTTATAAAAGATTATAGCAAACATCCTTTCAACCCTCTCTGAAATTTTCTTTTGCAATATCAGAAAGTATGCTATTCAGGAAACAGAAAGCATGTGTTCTGAATATACACTGTGATAAATATACTTAATTTCTTATAACCATTTTGCAAATAATTGTAACTAGGTCAGAAGGCTCATACATTAAAACCTATTAGGCTGAGGTCGTTTTTTGAAATATGTAGGATACAGTCAATCAAAATCTAATGTTTTGTGGAGTATAAAAGTACCTTTTCACCCTATTACATTTGATTGCGTAAAACAACCTTCTCACAAATGCAAGGAAAATAGTCATTGTTTAAATACCTGTGAATTATTCCCTTTTCATGTGCATATACTAAAGCTTCTATTATCTGTCCAATCCATGTCTTTATTTTCTAAAATCAAGAAAATTGTTAATATACAGCTATTTTAAGTAAACCATGTTGTTTTAAGATTTCCCAAGCAGTCTTCATTTTAAAGCTTTAGCTTCTAGCCATCAGTAATTTTATGACAACACGTCCAACATGAAATATATTCATTGTTATAATTAAGCAAGCCAAACGTAATGTAAGGTTGAAAAATACATTTTTATTAAAAAATTTCAAAGGTCCCTGAAGAACATTAAAGGTGATGATTTCCAACCTACACATTTCCGAACCATGATAAAGCTTTTAACGTATAGAATGATCAGTACATATCCAAAAACATAGAATTTGTAAGAGATAATTACAACATCAGTTCTGGCTGTAGTAAATTTCAAATTGATGAATTCTTTTTTCTTTTTTTTTTCTTACAGACTTAAAATTTCTTGAAAATATAATTTCTTGGCAATTTCAAGCGGAAAGAAAAGTACCAGAAATGGAAATGTAGCCCGCAACTCCAACATGTACAGTATGGCATCTTTGGACTCACCAGATCAGAAAATGATGTCCAGACAGATTTTCATGAGAACAGGACTTATGGATTCGAGAACACTGAGGGTATGTATTTTTGATACCAAAAGTCTTTACTTACAAGCCAAGCTGGCTTTTAGAATTTCAAATAATTCTTTATTTTGCAGATGATGAATTATTACCCACTGTGACACTAGATAAAATGTCAAAGGGATATCTATGCTCCAATCCCAATACTATACATTCAGAAATTAATGCAAGGTTTTTATTAATGCCAATAATGTAACTGGGTGAGTATCCCAATAATAAGAAATCACATTCTGATATCTGAAACATATTTCTGTATGCAGCTTTTTCTGAAATTGCAATAATCAATCTTTCCTTCCAGCAAAAAATTGCAATAATAAATGAAGGCAATAATTTCTGAATTTACAGTAAAATACCTGTACTGCTACAGTATCTCAATTTGATAATAAAAATGAAAGTCTCACCTCTTCCTCAATAATTTCTTTGCTTTGTCTTTTTTCATCAATATATTGACCTAGATGGCCTTTTGGAAAGTAGTCCATTGCTATACACATGTACATAGATGAATCCTAAAAATGATATGGAAATCATGAGATAAATACATTGATATATCTTTATTGCGAACCCAATGAAAGTTTTCCACAGTGCCATATCTATCTTGACCAGGTATTTAAACTTTTGCAAGTTCACCTGTCCTATTGAATAAATACAATAGCTATTGTTCTCTGTGTAGTTTATTCTCTGGGACCTTTAAATTTCTTCTAAGAGAAATCTATCATTCATTGATTAAATTACTGGAGTAAAAAAAAATTCTTATATATAGACAAAAATACTTTTTTTATACTCATTAACTGTGTGTGATGATGTATTTATTCAATATTAATAATATATTTTCATTCAGTTTAATATAAACATTGATTCAATCATAAAAAGTTGATTTCTAACAAAAGTTTTATCAATGTTCCTATTGAAATTTTTGTTTAGTTATAGAATACATTTAAGAAGATCTTAATTTGAAACATCATTATTTTCAAGTTCTTATTCATGTCAAACAAATTTTTTTTAAAAGGAACAATGTTGAAAGTTTTGTCAGAAATCAACTTTTTATGATTGAATCAATGTTTATATTAAACTGAATGAAAATATATTATTAATATTGAATAACTACATCATCACACGCAGTTAATGAGTATAAAAAAAGTATTTTTGTCTATATATAAGAATTTTTTTTTACTCCAGTAATTTAATCAATGAATGATAGATTTCTCTTAGAAGAAATTTAAAGGTCCCAGAGAATAAACTACACAGAGAACAATAGCTATTGTATTTATTCAATGGGACAGGTGAACTTGCAAAAGTTTAAATACCTGGTCAAGATAGATATGGCACTGTGGAAAACTTTCATTGGGTTCGCAATAAAATAATATAAACATTTGTAAACACATGAAATCAGTGCATCGATGAATCGTGAAAATGATACTGAACATGAATATTATGAGCTCCTTTTTGATAATTATTATATTAAAGCAGATTTTGCTTTCAGATCATTATATATTTTTTAAAAGCTCACATCAGATGAAAGCAAACCAGATGTATAAAAGAAGATAGACATAATTTGAATTAAATTAGCATATCTGCCAATGACCAAGGGAAAAGAAAATGATTTAATGGATTAATTTACAACACAAAATCCCTACATGCACTTGACCAAAAAAAAGCAAAGGAACAGCTCTTTATTGCTGTTCTTCATCATACTCACCTTCTTCTCCCACATAACAAAAAATTCTTTATATCCAGACACATATGGATGGTTTAACTCTTGCAAGGCCAGAGACTATAATAATAAAAGAAAAACAATATATTTTACAATACAGCCTGTGAGAAAAAATATTTATTTAACAGTAATTTAATTTTGGATGTAACATGTCTTCTGGTTGGCTGAAAGTTTTTTGTCTATCAGCTCATAGACATAATTTTGTCCATTGTGACTGTGCATCGTCAACGTTTTTTTCATGATTTACTCCTTACAGTGGAATTCAAAATTAAATTATAAGGAATGACTGTAATATTTTTTCTGTCTATTCGAAATAACCTCAAAAATGTGGTGCACACTTTTAAATAACCCGCTACACGGGTTATTCAGTGTGCACCACATTTTTGGTGTTATTTCTTCATAGGTCAGAAAAATATTAGTTATTCCTTAAATAAAATATACTGGTATGTAAATATTTGGTGTATTACATAAAATTCTGATGAGAAAAGAAAGACTGGTGGAGTCTTTAGTTTTCTATGTACAGTAGTGTTTTGTAGACTTGATTGTCTTTTTTTTTCCTTTTTTTTCCATGGCATTGTTGTTTTTTTTAACAACTTGTGAATTTTAAATGTTTCCTTTGTATCTTTTGGCTCTTTTTCAATTCAATTAAAAATATCTATTGAAGGTGATGTATCACAGTCAATGCTTGTGATTGCGACAGACCTGTGGTAATTAAAAATGTAATTATAATTGAGCATATTATCAATTACTTGTACTGCAAAGTAATTGATTAAATTGCCTTTTTGCCATGTAATTATGAATTACTTTTCAATTACATTTGAGTATTTTCTTGCAAGTTTAAAACCTTTCCCGTTTCTCTGATGCACAGGTAAACTGTATTTAAAAAAAAAATCTATTATTATGTTCGAAGCACATGTATTTTGAATATTTTTTGTTTATTTTGAAAGTGAATAATTATAATGTTTAATACAGTTTACCTGTGCGGGTGCATCAGAGAAAATATTTAAAATCTAACCTCTCTAAAAGCTTTGTTTGCCTCGCTTTCATCAAAACATTCCACCTGAAATACAGGGCAACACATAAATAAGTCATGTATATAAATACATAATAACCCAATAAAACATTAGTTATATTTAGGTTTATAATTATTTTATTTGATCAACAATGCAAAAAGGATCAGACACAAGTTCCACCTACATGTACTTGTGAAGTCTTCTCCTGTTTACAATATAATAACAATATTACACTAAACTGAGCAAACACATACACAATTAATAAATTCTAACATAAGTATAAGTAAACCCTTGATTAGCTATAAAAATAGATACATTTATTGGATTTGGAAAGTAAAAGAGGTGAGAAAGTAAAGGTCGGTGAAAAGTGAAACTTGGGAAGTTGGATACAGCAAGTATTTACTGAAGGTATTAGTTACATGTATGTCATGACCATACATGTATTTACAAAATCACTCAGCATGGTGTTCAGAATGATTTTATAATTTTGTATGAGAATCAGTCACAAATATGAAAAATCCCAGTGTCAAAGGGGTATTTATTTTTTGACATGTGATTTGAATAACCTTGTTTCTTGAGCTACATGAAATTGACGAATCTCATAACAAAAAGAAAAGTACTTTTATTCCTGTTATTTTTCTCAATAATGTTTTTCTTTCATAGCAAAAGGGAGAAGTTAAACATTTCATCAATACCTTTTTCAAGATACACGTTTTGTTCCCATTTTTTAGATCTTCAACTAAAAAAATTGTAGACTGGGCCCCTTGTCCTAACTGCTTTATAATCTGAAAAAAGAAAGACAAATTAAAATCAATGCATTATCTACATGTATACTGGGTAAAATAATAGAGCAAACAGTTATGACAGATTAATCAAATAAAATTTACTACAATTAAGTCACAAGCATTCAGGCATTTTTAAATTTAATTTCTACAAGACAACAACATACATTCAGAATACAGAGAACTTTTTCATGAAAACTTTTTCATGAAAACTTTTTCCTTTTTGTCTGGGTTCCTGTTGCTGAGACAGTCTTTAGTTTTTTATGTACTGTTTTGTCTTTTGGTTGTTTTTCATATTTTTGCCATGGCATTTTTAAAAAATTACGAGTAAATTGAATATCCCTTTTGATATCTTTCACAGGAGTCATATTTCAAGTTTAATTTTGTGGTTAAAATATAGTCAATTTATATCAGTGACAGCAAATTTCCAAATATTTACATGAATATATGTGATATTAAATCATATGGTTAGAAAAATTGCATGCAAGATTTTTTTTTTGCATTTCTATACATGCACTCACAGAATAAAAACTCTGTACATGTATGTAAAATCTGGATAATGTGGTTGTTACACAAACTATTTTAAAACTGTAATAAAAAACTTGTAGGACAATTCTGTATTTGCAGTAAAAAGTATGTGGTTGTTACACAAACTATTTTAAAACTGTAAAAAAAAACTTGGACAATTCTGTATTTGCAGTAAAAAGTAATCAACGATCCTTTATACAAAGATCTTTGGTGGATTGTAATTGTTTGTTGTTACGGCAGGAAAAAGCATATCATCTATAAAATCATTTCCAATATCATGACTAATATTTATCTAATCATGATAATAAAGCACTGATTTTCTTAAAATAAAAATGACATTTCAATTCAAAATTGCTTAAAAAGACAGGTTTTTTTTTAAAAATGTTACATAATCACAAAATAAAATTGATTAAACGAAAAGCAATACATTTTTATATATTAAATTCCGTGTGGTGAACCAACGCCTGTGAAATCGTTTTGGTAGAGATCTTTTGAAGTGTTGTTGTCAATTTTAATTATTATTTTTATATATTGTGAAAGTATTAAATTACTGCAGCATGCAATCCCTTGCTTTTAAAAGTGTTGTTGTTTTAACTGCTTTCACATTTTGGGTTTTATCGCAACAACCCTGCTAGCATACCTGAGGTATCCACTTTTGGAATTATATTGTATTAAAGATTTACCAGGCATTGGTTCACTGTCGTTGCAAATTTTATCTATTATTGGAAATTTTGTAATGCCAAATTCAAAAAAATCTATTCCATTCAAAATGACATAATGTTGTCTGTCTCATGTAGGACACTTTCTCATGCTTATCGGGCTATTTTATGCATTTGATAGTGAATATGGTTATCCTTAGTTTTTTATCCAATGATGAAATGGACATGAATTTAAAAATATCTCAAGGTAAACCACTAAACAATAATATAATACATAAGAAACTGTTCCTCAAAATATTTTGTTTTATGTTAATTACTACTCAAGTTGTGTTTCTTAATCTCTTATTATGAACTAAGACTAATATTAATAACAAGTCTAAGATCATTTATAGAATATTTTGGAAAACAACAATCTTTTTTTCTTCTTCTATTTCCATTTTTGAGACCCAATGCGCCTAAAAATTGTTTGTTCCGTGCTGATTACTAAGAACAGATATTGGCAGCATTGTTAAGGTCGAGGAACATATTCATTGAAGAAAGTATTTAAACAAAAATCTAAATTTGTACCTTGTAGTTCTCCATGCTTGACAACATGAAGCTTTCAGTCTGCGCTTGCGTGTTGTTGTGTTGAAAAATGGAAATTTTGAATCGTCAACGGATGCGACATTGAAAAGTATCCGTAAAATTAAATAGAATCAGAGAATATATATAATTTCTCTGATAAAATCTATAACCTACAAAGTGATGTTTGGAATATATATTTACAGCGGCCAAGAAATTGCAATCTCTTGAAAACCTGTTCACAATTTTGTTTCAAAATTATATGTTATTGTTTTAAGAACATTTCAGTTTTAATGATACTTCGTGACCTGTTATAATAAATCGGTCTAATAGGCATTTTCCCAATTATTGTCCTTATAATAAGAGCATTCACCACGAGTGTGCAGATTATTTTTTAGACATCAAAGACGAATGTACTACAAAATCTGAATTAATTTTCCAAATGAACTGTCACGGGCCGGCGAAACGTTTCCCGTTTTTTTCTACCAATTGCATTCAGTATCATGGTGTCAGACTTCGCATGACCTAAATAATAAATTGTGTATTTAGTATTGTTAAAAAATTATGTCTATACATATTTCTTACAACTACCGATTTAACTATAAGATTATGCAAAACAGAATGTGAAGTTGACACATTTTATCAGTGCTACTAGTTTCTGCTCCTTTAAATTCATCATAATAAATTTAGCATTGTTATTCAGTAGATCTTCTCTAAAATTTAGTATAAAAAGCCAAGCGAACAGAATAATGTGCTAGCCCGTATTAGCTTGACACATGGTCTTACATTTAATTAAGGTGACGGTAAAGCTTGTTCCATATGTACTTCCCGTCAAAAAATGACAAATATATTATGGAATATGTAAAATATATATTTTCCCTAGTTTATTATATTGGGAAAGTCACAGTATGGTGTTCACATGCATATATGAACCGCGATATGAACAAGCGTACTCTGAAAGCTATCCCAAGTGCAGTGTTTCGGTCGACGAAATTTCGAGAAATCGCAATTTAAAAAGAAAATATTTAAACGACACTTTTCACGTACATTTCATACATTTATATATTTATTTTACAAATATTCAATTGATAAAATTGTATCTATGGAAGTAAAAATGTCATTTGAATTTTTTAATATTCAGATATATACAGAATAACAGTGAATAAATGCATAAAATATTTCACGAATATCCGAAAAAAAAACCCGCTATGTTACATAAACCTATCTAAGGTGAAGAAAGAAAATCAATTTCTAAAATGATAATAAAAATTATCCAGGATTTTTTTTTATCAAAATGCAATAATCATGTTAATGTAACCAAATTCGTTAGTGTTGACAGAGTTATTATTGAGTACACTATCGATTCCAATATAGGTCGACGACTTTGATTTTAGACAGAAAACCTGTGATTTGTCTTGTTTCAACAAACCATGTGATATTTTACATCCAACAGCTTTAGCAATATTTCATTCTGGTCAAAAGGTTATTAGCAGTAATTCCTTTTGTTTTGCCATTTCCTGCTGTGCTGTTTACAATTCGGTTTTTATCAAACTAGCCCGACGGGAGTTGACATCTTTTATAACAGTAATTATCAGGCGAATATGCTCATGTTTGTTTCAAATATCAATAACAAATTATATAAAAAACCAAATCATTTAAAGAAGTTTACTAGCTGTTTTGGTTTGGGGTTGAAGAATGATAATCATGTCAAAATGTTTTATATTTTTAATCACAATTGCAGGAATTTCAAATCATGTTCTCTGTTTTGAAGCGATTGGGGAACTGTCGATGTCAAAGGATAGCAATTTATCAGATAAATTGTTTAATCAAACTGCCTTGCGTAATGTCAGCATGGCTTCTCTGGTCCGGTGTACTCGACTATGTTTGGATACACGTAACTGTAAATCTCTATTTTATAATAAAGAAAGTAGGCGATGTCAATTACATACCGATCTGACATACAAGCTAACCGATTGTGTTGCCGAAATAGGATGGAGTTTTTACACAAAGTATCAAGGTAAATATAATATAAATGTATTTTTTAATAATATGTGAATAATAATCATCTGGTACACAATTCAATCGAAAACCACTACTTTAAAGATGCATACGACAAGATGAATTTGCTTCCAAATCAGTATTATAGTAATCTCCGTCTGAAATAAAAATGGTTAATATGAAAATGAGAATATCTTATCGCATAAATTAGATATTTCTACAAAAAAATAAAATAACAAAAATACCGAACTCCAAGGAAAATTCAGAACGGAAAGTCCTTCATCAAATGGCAAAACCAAAAGATCAAACACATCAGTTGAATTGAAAACAACTGTTATATTCCTGACTTGGGTACAGGAATTTCCCAAATTGAAATAACACATTATAATTTTCGTACGTCCGAAGCGCATTACTGGATTTACCTTTCAATAGGAAAACATAAAACCCCCAAAACTGAAAACCAAGGATGTATTATAAATACTTGAATATTTTAGGACTTATATGACCTATAGGGATATAAAAAGAAATGCCAAATCCATCTATAAGGTCCACTCAAATCCTAGTCAGGTCAGTTTTGAAAATAACATCAAATGTAGTTTTATTTGTTCGATGTACAAAAAACCTGGATTTGCCTGTCAATATGGAAGCAAACTCTAATATATTTCAATACCAAGGATGTATAAATACTTAAATATTTGAGGAGTTATACGATCAAAATGGACATACAAAGAATTGTCAAATCAATCTATAAGGTCAACTTAAATCCTAGTCAAAGCAGTGCAAAAGGAATTATTGCTAATAACCTTTTGACCAGAATAGATGCGTGATTGATTGATTGTGTTTAACGCCACTTTCAACACTATTACATGCTATTTCGTGGCGGTCAGTTTTTAATGGTGGAGGAAACTGGAGTGCCCGGAGACAACCACCGACCTTCGGTAGGAAAACCGACAATCCTAGTCAATTAAGATTGGAGTCGAGTGCACCTGCCCCGTGCGGGATTCGAACTCACAACCTCAGTGTTGACTGGCTAGTGATACAGTAGTTTGACTACTTAGACCACTAAGCCACCGAGGCACCGATCAGAATAGAACATTGCTAAAGCTGATGGATGCAACGTTATATTTCAAGGGTTTTCACATTTTGGATTATTTTGTTCCTCAAAATAATTATTCTCTTCTTTTGTAGGTGTTGATATGACAAGTCCAACAACATCATTTGCAACACCTAGTGCGCTACTCACTTATGTTGAAGGTATATAACTTCATTTATTAAAAAAAAAATTAAATTTATGTCTTTAATTTCTTTTTGGTACTCAGCTGATTTAATGTCAAATAGATTGAAATATTTATATTTATTTCAAAAACAAAAATATATTCTTAATCGATATAATTTAGCTATACATTAAAACAGCACTTGATCTCAGATCATGATGATGTATGAATGATACTTAATAATTAAAATGACGATGAATCAAAACTTTTACGTCAATTCTTTTATTCTAGTAAATTGTCCATTAGGAAATGGATACACATATCATTCATCGACGGATTCTTGCATTAAAGCTTACAACAGTAGCCCAGCAAAGTATTCCATTGCGAAAACAAAGTGTCAACAGGAAGGGACAGAGATAGTTAGTATCAAAAACTTCTATAAATGGCAATTTGTCAGTACTATTATTGGTAAGTTTTTCTTGACATAGATAACATTTAGCTGTTTGACATATTGTATTACATTTCATTTTTATTTTTATATCAAATTTGGTAATATGGTAAAATGATACAGTTGCGAATAATAGCTTTTTCTTTTTGAAAAAGAGTGATAAAAAATATCTGGTTTCTGAATAAAAAACATATTCTGCCAGAGTTTAAGGTCAGTCACAAAGCAAGATACCTTCAATGTGTCCATGCTGCCATGCATTATATATTCTATCATACCCATACATAACGTTGAATGATTCTAATAACATAAACGGTACCAATTTTTCTGCACCAGATGCGCATTTCGACAATCAATGTCTCTTCAGTGATGCTCGAGGTCAAAATATTTGAAAATCCAAAGCTTATTAAAAAGATGAAGAGCCAGAAACCAAAAAGGACAAAAACGTATAGCCAAAGCCAAACAAGGAATCAGAGCTTTGCATGAGGGAGATACATTCCTTAATTTTAAATAATTTCCAAAATTTTATAACAGCAATTTTTAATAACACAAAATCCGTATTTTCTAAAATATGCGTAGGAGGACAGGAAAAAGAAAACATAATTGACAAAAAACATCACGTTAGGAGTTTGAATCTTTAGGCTTGGTAACATACAACTCAATAAACTGAAATGTGTAATAAATCATGCGAGCTCTTAAGCCTTTTATAGTCTCCCTTCTAACTCTAAGAATGTCATATAGCGTATTTTAATTTATAGAAATAATGCTGACATAAAATGGATTTTAACCTGAAAAGTTTACTACCTCCGTTGACCTGTAAATGTCAGCACAGTTTTTATGATGCTAAAATGGTTTGAAAACAAATCATCAATTATACCAGGTTTTTAATTTTGCAAACCGTTTCGTCTACAAAAGGGTCATTCATGACAGTCTAACCAAAAAAGTTAAGAGGTCAAATTAAGTATACGAAGATGAAGAGCATTGACGACCCAAAATTCTGAAGCAATATTTGTTCGGTATACTAAAACAGTTACGGCCCTATCAGTCGGAAGATTTCCAAAATTTCCTGCGAAAGGTTGACAATTTTTGATATCCTCCTCTTCAGAGGGCCTTAATTGTATAATGTCCTTTCTAAAATTTTATACAAATGGAAGGCACGGAATGACAATGACATATAAGAGTGAAACGGCGGGGTTATCGATTAGAAAACAAAATAATGACATAAAAATGAGCTGAGAATAACGATAGGAGAAATGAAAAAGAATAATAAGGTTCTTTAAGAAATTTTACACTACAGAGATCTGAACAAAAACTACAGAATATAAAAGAAGATATAGCTTTCTCTCGCAAAGTTAATCATTGGCGGATTTGGAAGTTAATATGAATTAAAGATACATTTATTA